AGTAAACTACGGTTATAACGAACACGCTTATTTTTAGTACCGGCCATTTGTTGTACATATGCTGTATATATGCTTTAAACAAACTACGGTTATAACGAACTAAAATTAGTACGAACTAAAATTAGTGGTCCCTTTGAGTTCGTTATAACCGTAGTTTACTTTATCATCAAGTTGGTAAAATTTCAAGATCATCAAAAGTTTGATATACAAATTCTAGTTCCTACATCGTTGAAGTGATAAAATTCATGTTCCGGCGGGCCAGACCGGCGATAATTGCTGCAGTGGAAACAGTGTTAAGTATACATGACCCATGTGTCTTGGCGGTGGCCCATGTTGCAGTGAGATTGAACCAGGAAGTAAACGTAATGACGGTTAGAGGGACAGACTGCTATTCTATCAGCAACGCATTACCGGGCCAGTGTGTACTACTAGGAAGAGGCGGGCTACAACACATGATACTGAGGATGTTAGTTAATGACACCGGAGGCGGTTGAACGTTGGCGTTACGACAGCCGTGGTACCTCTACATATAACGATCTTCAGGTCTACATGACTCCCGAAATCAAACTAATTGCAGATAATGGATTACAGATGTTCTTTAGTGCATATCGTCTATGTTATTATTTTATAGACACAAAGAAAAAAGTTAAGCACCCTTAAGCATCCTTAATGACCCCTAATGGTCGTACGAGCGTTGCCACTGAAACCCTAGCAACATCGCCTCGTAAAAACGAATGCGATTTGCAAGAAACTAAGAAAACAATAAATGTTATCCTGTTTTAATTTTTTATGATTCTAACAAAAACTCGGGGGCACTGTATCTGTGCAAAAATGGAGGCACAGTAAGTATATGGGCGCTGTCAGGAACACAATTCCACATCATGACTGATGATGAAAAATGTCATTTTCTTTCCAAAGATGACATTCATCACACAAGTCATCAATAGCGGGTAAGCCCGCCACGCGCCCGGATGACAGCTTCCAGCCTTCGTCTCATCACTCCTGTAAGTGGCCTGATCTTCTGGATGGGCAGCAGCAGCCATTCGCGATGAAAAGCTGTCAGCCATTGGGCCAGAATCTGTAACGTTGGTTCCAGTGCATCTGCTTGATATATGCTCCAGTGGGTTCAGGTCAGGACTCGGCAGGCCACTGCACTGTCGCCACAGCGTCATTCTGGAGAAAAGCTGTTTCTGCTCGGGAACATGGTGGCCTAAAATCGTCAGTCCATGTATACAGATCAGGTGGACTTCATTCCTGCCGATTTGAGTCGATTCCTCACAAGGTAGAGCGTCCGCCCGGAGAGCGGAAGGTCCGGGGTTCGAACCCCGGCGGCGTCATACCAAAAGACGTTAAAAGATGGTACTTGTTGTTACCCTGTCTGGCGCTCGGCATTTACTGTGGCCTCGGAGTCAGTATACTTTGTCTGAGTGGGGTATTCATGTTAAACTGCGGCATGGTATCTCAGTGAGCTAGCACTATAAATCGGCATCAGTCCGGACTTGTACAAGCAGCCACACACACACACACGTACATGCACGTCGCTATATATGTGCAATAATCTTGGATGCGAGGTTAAACCCCATTTCACCTCACCGATTCCTCACAGTTCTGGTTGACATCCGTCTATTGGGTAACGGGGGCGGTCGGGTAGCTTAGTGGTTAAAGCGTTCGCTCGTCCCGCCGAAAACCCGGGTTCGATTCCCGACATGGGTACAATGTGTGAAGCCCATTTCTGATGTCCCCGCCGTGATATTGCTTGAATATTGCTAAAAGCGGCGTAAAACCACACCACTCACTCACTATTGGGTAACCATTGGCGCTTTAGGTAACATGTTACAAATGGTTGACGACGTACAAGCTGAAGCAGGGCCAGGTCCTCACGCCCTGACGTTATGCGAGGTCACCCTGACCTGTACAGCATTGGCTTGCCCGTGATTTCGTACCAGTCTGCTGATTATGGCTACCTGAGTTGACGTCATATACTTGTGTAGGTCAAGCCTGTCGAATGCACCTCTTATAACCTTCTTCGTGACATGTTCACAGAAAATGCTTCAACAGTGCAAGACAGTGACATTAAATACCAACAATTGCGGTGGACAGATACTGCATTTTGAAAACTACATGGGTGGCATCCCGCACGTGCATGGCGTGCTGCGATGTGACGTCATTGTTGCCATTGTACTATCCTATCATTTCGATGGAACACCATTCTTGACATTTCATCACGAAATTTGCATTTGTTGCAAATGGGGAGATTTCAGTATTAATCGTTTCCAGGGAAACGAATAATTTTATTGATTTTACTGTCCCAAGAGTTTGTTCGTTATATCCGGAATTGAATACATATTCGTTATATCTGGATTTTAATGTATGTTCGTTATATCCGGAGTTGAATATATATTCGTTATAACATGATTTTAATGTATATTCGTTATATCCGGAGTTGAATATATATTCGTTATAACAGGATTTGAATGTATTTTCTTACATCCAGAGTTTGATGTGCATTCGTTTATACCCGTTGCTGAATGTTTATTCGTTATATCCAGAGTTAAATTTATAATGGCTATGCGCAGAGATGAATATATAATCGTTATAGCCGCAAAAAGGGTATTAACACTAACCTGTTATTAATTGGCAGACTGTTTGTCTTACTTCGGTTTATTCGAAATTAATGTGAAGGTTATCTCACTGATGTAACAATGTTGCTGTTAGTACACACGTACAGACATCGACAGGTTGTATGAATACGGGTTGGCCATTGCTACATGCAGCGCGGTTAAGTCTACTTTGGATTAAACGAAGTTAGAATAAACTGTCCCCCGGTTTCAACGGAACCATCTGAGAAGTTTACTTCATATCCAGACAATGTTTGCACTTGCGGCATCGACTCTGATATCTACCGTTGCAACTCACAGCATGTTATCGCTGCGGTCAAAGACGAAATCGAGAATGGGAACATGGAGACAACCGTTCGAGTTAAAGGGAGTCAGATCCGATAAAAAGCTAGCTACCAGTATATTTACTTCGATAGTTAAGGTATTCGGAGATAGTGGTCGGTATTTCATCTCTCGTGTACATCCAATCTGTCCTCTAACAGGGGTCGTGGTAGCCCAGTAGTTAAAGCGTTTGCTAGCCTAGCCGATGATGCTGGTTCGAATCCCAAATGGGTGTAATTTGTGAAGTTCATTCAAGGTGTTCCCCAGCCCTAATAATACATGAACATTGGTAAAACCATTCTCACTCGCTCTTTTAATAGCACACCTATTGACATCAGTTTATGCATATACTACTCAAAAGAAGTTAAGGAAAACCCACTTTTACCCTTGACTAGAGTTAATCTGTCAAGCATATGACAATAACTATCGTCATATGAAAAAACGGCGTTCTTCGGAATCATGTGAGAAGCATATACGTGTATGTCTATGCACTCATATTCACTCGAAACATCCCTCATTATCTATTTATGTTTACAGACAATAGCAACGATATATAAACAATACTTCCGTAATCTCTTGGACATATATAAATATTGCCGCCAGAACATTCTCTGTACAGGAATGGCAAACAGTGACTGCAACCAAAGTGTGAAACGAACGACCGCTGAACACCCGGCGGCAACAAAGCTGACAACATTATTATTAATAAATTCTGTTAACAACGGTTCAGGAACAAAGGAATCGTAATAATGGGTCAACATTCATATATTGATAATAAATCCACACATCGCGGTCGTGCCAGTATCGTGCAGCATGGCAGTGAGCATTAATCAATTAAAAGACCAGACATATGAAATATACACATATATATACACACACATATATATATGGTGAGCCTGCGCCTCGAGTGGCTGCGAGAATGTGGGACACTCGCTGACCTCTGAAACGGAAACGACGCGGCAGAAAGATTACAGTGGTGTGTGTATTGTTGATAGACCGAGCAGGTTACTTATGCGTGGTAAGGGACACTGCACATTCTCGCGCGCCATGTCGCACGGACAACACGCTCCCTATGGTGGTTGACGCAGGTGAGCTGTATGACTATTTCTTACGAGTGTTCGTCCGCTTTCCCTTCTCAATTGACGGGAATGTGGTCGACTGTTTGTGTTTGATAGGCGTTGGTCGCGGGTAGTGACGTATCACCGTATTACGCGTCATCATAATCAGCATTTACTAGCGCTAGACTTGGAAGACATTCTCCGTGTGCTAATGGGTAGCTAGGGGATATGATGGCGTATCATTGTGTTGAGTGATGGTATTTGACGTTGCGATATTAATAGTGTCTGATGTCATTTGTAAAACCGGAGTACATTCATTGTCATAATGAGGCGGTAAAGTTGAAGTTAATAACCAGTAATATATTTACAGAACCGTGGTTTAATAAAGTTTGTGATGTGTGCCATTTTTATTAATAATTAAATGTTGAATCGGGTTCGTAAAGATACAAAACCATACGTCTATATGGGTGATTGTGCAGCAATATGGCTTGATGTTCGCCCGTCATGCTATATCCGGTGTCCATTCCCATATGAATATAAAATGTGAATCTATCCTCTCTCGTAATATTGCAGGCTTGAATCAATACTGAATCTATTTTTTTTTATATGTCTTTTTATTCGTCTTTTATAACCAGATCGTTTCGCGTAAAGCGTTTCAAAAATATACCAAATACACAGTACACACCTAATACGTTCCATCATTAAAACGCAATCAATGCTAATTTGCAATATAAATGACCAATTTCAATGACCTTCACCTTCTTGGCATGAAATGACGAGTTTCGATCATTTGTGAATAATGAATATTAATTAAACATTATATCCATCCAACGATGCGATCCGATCCCGTTTGATTATTCACGCCTCTTTAGTTCCATTTCTATCTTCACGCTGTACGAACGGTATGTCGTCTGTTGACAAAACCGTCACGTCTGCCCCCCACATCTATCGTCTGCTATCGGTCCCATGTGTAGGATGTGACGTAAGCGATGTAACGGTTCTCAAGCGAGAGTCGTCTGCTATTTGTTCATTCCCTCGATAGCGGCGATATGTTTTGACGTAATACTGTTCGCTTTGGGCCTCTAGCTAAGAACATTATGAGACTCCGAGCCGTTCTGTAGGCTTCTAGCCCAATCGATTTCCAAAAGGTCACGGCTAGCATTTTGTAGCACGAGTGTGAAGAGTCTTCCCCAGATGTATGCGATTTGGACACAGTGGGATGGCAAGATCTGTAATGAGAGGGCGACTAGGCTTGAAACGTGCTATGCGATAAGTTGGCGGAGAACTATTACTGTTCGAGTTGAGGCGTATTCAAGCCGTGTATAGTAACTGTTCCACACGGAGGAGTTTCAAGTTGTCGTCATAACCGCATTGCGTTGGTGGCGATATGGGAAATGTTTCCTTGTTGGACCAGTAAGCATTCTTCTCGGTAAGGGATTAATTCCGAGTCGCTTTACAAGCCGGAACTATGTCAAACTTGAATCTTGAATATTCTTGAGCTACTTTCTGTGGCGTTATTATCCTTTGGCGTGATCTCGGTGAGTAGGCTGTGTTTGAGTCCTGGTGTTTCGTGCGTTGTTCTGAATTATATGTTGTAAATCGTACTGATCAAACCTATTGATAATGATAAGAATTCAAATATAACAAGTTTTTTTTTTATCAGAATTAAATGTCTGAAAATGGGTTAATTGTTAGATGAAAACGTGGTGCGAGTGTTGATATTCGACACGCATAGATGATGTAGGATGTCAACTGAGGGCATGATGTGAATATTTCTGTTTTATTTGAATTTCAAGTAACTTCCGCATTGTTCAATTGACTTAACGGTCACGAACTGTATACATATATTCGACATTTGGGATCGTGCGAGATCGTTTATAGAATGTAAATAGTGTATGTATGTGCTTGGTGTGTCCGCGAACAGCTCTCTCTCTCTCTCTGTCTGTCTCTCTCTCTGTTTCTCTCTGTCTGTCTCTCTCTCTCTCTATATATATATGATATATGATGTATTTAGTTTTGTATCAGTAAGTAACACATCTCGTGCAGGACGCTCTAATAGTATGGTGTACGAGAACTCAACGTAACAACTAGATCTACTTTGTGATATGAATCACAGCGTACATGGGAAAAACATTCACATGACGTCATTCATATGATTAAGCTCCCTGGTGTGAAACCCGGCAACTTCAGTTGACCAACTACGACCGGTTTCGATAACTGACGAAAACAACAGTGACAGCCGCGTTGGGTCTCAGTTGGAAGATCTTGAACTGTTAGAAGCAAGTGTGAAATACTGATTGAAGGATGTGAGATAAATTCTTTGACGTATGTAGAACCATATAAGTTCGATGACTTCGAATCATATGGAAGGTATAGAGCGGTATCAGATTACGTAAATATGGCATGAGGATTTACCGATTTACAAAATGTCATTGAGAAAAGCAAATCTTTTTTAGAATCAATTTGATGATATTTCATTGTCTTCATGTGTTAGATTTAATGATCGCGACAAAAACGTTCAAGGACTTACTATCAGTTTCCTTGTTGCAGATAAACGCCACGATGTATAACCACAAGGAACAAGGTAAAGGCATACCGCCATTAGCCATGGGGTTGGTGGATCAGCGGAAAGCTCAATACCCCGGATACCCCCCTGTACAACAGCCCCACCCCGAGACTGCTTCCTTGTCCAGGGGTTCGCTTGTTCCCGGGGTGACTCAGTCTAAGATTGTCCCACCACTTGCTTATGCCACAACACAAGGACATAATTCCAGCCTGACGTCACAGAGCAGCTCATTGTATTACTATGGCAACAGTGTATCATCGGAGGCCAGTTCCCGATTCCCGCGATCCCATTCTGGACACTCGGGAACCGTGCAACCCCAAAGTCTTTCTGTGAATAGTGCCATCGCTGCGGAAAGTCAGAAACATGTGTCTTCGTATGCTGGCGGATCTATACAAAATGGTTTACCTTTGACAAGCAGGACTGACAGAGTGCCACCGTTGACGACTGTCGGATACCCATCTCTTAGTCAGCATCGTGTTCAGTCTTCTCAGCTCGGAGCCATCGACTCTGGACTTATTTCAGGATACCCTAGTTCAATACAAACTGGAATACCTCAAAGTGGCGTTCAGAATCGTGGGGGGCTAACTGGCGTGTTTAAGTTAAAACAGTCTCCTGACTATAGGCAGCATATGCACGAAGCTGCAGCTGTGGATAAACACAGCCCCGTTGCTAGCCCGAGGTCTTCTGTGTCAGTGTATCCGGGATCCGTGGCCATGGGCTATCAGACGGGTAGCAGCATACCCCAGTCGCCTAAACAAACTGGATATCCGCATTCTAGTGCAGTGACTCAGGCAAGTCAGACAATGAAAATGCCGATGCCTGTGCAATCTAGTTCCATGCAGAGCGCCATGCATGCCATGAGCAGACATTCCCCTATCAGACAGGGCTACCAGGGTCAGTCAAGCCAATACGGACCTCTACATAGTCCCGTCGGTTCACAACAACGTCAAGTATTAAGTGATAGTGTGTACGGGATCCCAAGATCCACTGTCCCAATGTCTTACAGTCAGACATCTGCAGCTTCTTCTGATGCCCTGAGACGGTCAAATCAAATTCCCAACCCACCCCAATCGTCTCAACATCATTATAATCCAAGCAGCCAACACGCCCCAGTACCACATAGTGTCGACAAGCGTCATAGTGTTTATTCTGTGCCAAGTAACCAGAGTGCTAGACAACTGACTTCATCCCAAGGTGTGAGTGTTCGTGGACATGAATACCCACCGAGAAGGACAGAGACCAAAGAGCCACCAGTGAAGCATGTGATGCAGCCTGTTAAAAGTGGATCTATACAGACTGGTATGCCTTTGGATTTGACTAGTGTTGATAACAGTCTGAGTGCTGGGGCTGCTTCTGAAAGCCCCTTAGATTTGTCAGTTAAAACTAGAAAGCGCTGTGCGGATACTTCTATAGACTATGGATTGTCTGAGACTGATAGTAGAGGAGTTCCTCCCATGAAGAAGCCGTGTGTCAAAACTGATATTCCTGTGGATCTACGGTCTAAGGAGGTTGGAAGTAAGGTCTTAATGACTGCGCCGGCACCTCAAAGACAAAAGTACACATATGATATTGAAACTGATCAAATGTTTGATATCAAGCTCCAGCAGAATATTTGCCAAAGTAATGTGTATATGAAAGGGAACAAGTATGCTTATCAGAGTCAAAGACACGTGCAACCTAAAGTTGAACATAGTCAGCCAAAGACAGAGCAAATGCAGAATATGTACTATCCGGCACACGAGGCAATTGTTTCCCAGGTTGAAAGTTTCCAGAACCAAGGGCCAGTTAAATCTCCTCTTCGTCAGCAGCCAAAATACGAGGAACAAAAAACATGTTATCCCTCACCTCCTGAAATAAATGCATACCCCAGTCAGACTTCACAGAAGACGACAGTTCCGCAACTCAACGTGTCTAGTCAAAGTGTTGTGTATTCCAAGGCTACTGGATTTTATGTTGACGCATCTGATTACAGAAGGGCCATGTCCTATAGCCAGAACACATCTTCATCATATGGATTAAAGAATGATATACATACTACGAACTCCTATCAAAAACCTGTCAGTAGCTATATTTCACCTCAGACCAGTCATCAAAGGCAATCAGGGACTCAGAGTAGTGTCAGTTCCAGTGCTAACCATAAACCGCAGCCGCATCATCAAATATATCCTACGATGCAGAAACAGCAACATCAGCAACAACAGCAACATCAGCAGCAACATCAACAACAGCTGCTTCATCAACGATCGTTGCAGCAACATCAGCTCATGCAACACCCAATGTCACATCATCATCATCAACAGCCGCAGCCGCCGCCGCCTCCTCAGCAGCAGCAGCAGCAACAACTGCAGCAACAGCAACAGAGACCTCCACAGAATCAGTATTACAGTAAACCAATAACAACTTCTCAAAGTACAATATCTGGCTCACTCTATAGTCAGAGCATGATCACCGCCAAGTCTGCGTATTATCCACAGAAGAAGGAAGAGCCGAGATCTGTGGACAATAGATACCATGAACCAATCCGATCTCATCCAAATGTTCCCCAGACTAAGCCTTCCTATGAAATGAAGCTACCCAGTAGTAATGGGTACATTGTTACAACTCATGACAAGAGGAATGTCCCCAAGACTCAGATTATAAGCACGACACTGTACAAGCCTCCAGTATCAGAACAACAGGAAGTGCAGAGACGCGAATCCTCTCAAATAACTCCCGAAATTCAAATCACCGGTGTAACAGCAGCCCCAGCACAGAAGTCCCAATCTCAACCTGCTGCTGAAACTCAGAAGGATGAACAGATGAATATGGCCAAGTACACTGAGCCGCTGACAATAGCTATACCGACATCCACCAGCAATAGTGACCAAAGCCAAAAAGCTGCACCGAAATCCGTCCCTCGTCCTGGACCACACAAAATATTGTCCAAAAAGCATAGGATACTAAATGCTTTTGGCCAAGACGAAGATCAGAAGCGCGTGGCAACGCACGTACCTAGCTCAATTCCACATCACGTTCATCGTACGATGGATGGTGTGTTCAAGATGCCAACGATTTCACCTTCAAGTCCAGCTTCTCCAAAAATGCCCATTCTTAGCCCGCACGATAAAATCCCTCCTCCCGAGGATGCCTCTCTCCACAATGAACCACCACAGCTCGATCCACCAGCAACCCCTGTTAAGAATAGGCTTGTTGCGGGCGCCGTTGGGGTCCGTGGTGAGAACATTCAGAGGGCACAGCAAGGAGATAAAGCTGTGAAGGATAAGGATGGAGCGAAGATTCTTCTGAAACCACCTGCTCCTCCATCAGTTGAAGCAGCAGCTGATGGGCAGGTAAGGCCGGGTGAGAAATATGTACGGCCGGAGATTATGAGAAGGAATTCGTTGCCCGAGAGGCCATCAATGTATCAGAAAAATATCCCCGTTGCCAACGTTGCGCCCTTTGTTCATTCAAATAAGGACCAAATTGGAGCACATTCCGACTCGACCCAAGTTGTTCCAGAGGACAGTCTGAACACTGAATCCTCTTCTAGTCAAGGAGAACGTCAGGACAAAGAGGATTCCACCACAAGGAATGGAAACAAGCATCCGCAATCAAAATCCACACCGACAAAGAAGCAAAAGCAGGAAACTACAAAGGCATCGCAAAAGAAATCTAGTCAATATATCAGAAAGATTGCCAAGTTGAGTAAAACGACCCCCCGAAAGAGGGAACTCAAGTTTGTGGCAGCTCCCCTGAAGTACAAGCTGTTAAAGGCTACGACGGAAATTCAGGAAATGGAAGAAGCATCCTTAGCTAGGAACTATAAGAAGCAGGGTCTACGTCCACGACAGAAGCAGGTTCCTGTGAAGAAACCACCAAAGGCTAAGCGTAAGCCTATGCGGATGACGAAGAAAGAGAAACTGGAAGAAGCAGGAGACTCAGAAGGATTTGAGGTGGAGAAACATAACACACAGAAGGTAGTGATAGCAGAACCGGCCAAAAAGAAAGAGACTACCACCGTTACAAGGCAGGACAGACCACTTCGGGTAAGCATTACATTCAATATGATCAGTTGTGAATGGGGGTTCAGTGAGTGAGAATTGTTTTACGCCGATGTTATCAATATTGCAGCAATATCACGGCGGAGGACATCAGACATAGGCATCACACATTGTACCCTTGTGGGGAATCGACCAGGGTCTTCGGCGTGACGAGCGAACGCTTTAACCACTAGGCTACCCCACCGACCAGATACGAATGGTTTCATTCCTTCACTCGAGTGGACATCTCGTCTTTGGCGTAAAAACAAAACATTGGCAGGATTGTATCTTTAAGGCGTGTGTGAATCCTCGGATTGTTGCGTCTCTATGAGGTTTGAATTAACAGCAGCAAACACGTACACCTGGGTTTCACGAATGTGGTAGACATCTGAAACATGCATTCCTTCAGAAGCTAGCTGGCCGTGATGCAACTGAAATGTTACCCAGCCTTATAATTCATTCATACCCTCTTCGGGGGCACGGGTGGCCCAGTCGTCTAAGGCGCCGCGATTCGCTGTGCAGAGTTGCGTCCTTTAGGCACGCCAGAAACCTATGATTATGGGTTCGAATCCCGGTTCGCCCCGATTATGTTTCTAGGTTTGTCAGCACCATACCCGTGCTCGTGGGTTTCACCGAAGTGGTAAACGTCTGAGACCTGCATCACTTCGGGCTTTCCTCCCACATTAAGCTGACACGCCGTGATATAACTGGAATATTGTTAAAAGCGGCGTTAAACCAACTCACTCACTCACTCATACCCTCTTCCGTACAACAGTCAAGGGTGATCGCATGATGAATTGTATGCTTACTGCTTATGATGTACTCAGGGCGGTCGGCTGACCGTGTGGTTTTCTCGTCACGCAAAAGGGCCTGGTTCTGTTCCCGACATGGGGGCAATGGGTGAAGCCCATTTCAGGTGTCCCCTGCCCTGATATTGCTGGAATATTGCTACTCCCTCACTTATGCTGTTCTCTGCTATCGACTGGCAGCCAGTCTTAAGTTGCTGAAACTCGTTTCCCATTTAGCGTACGTTCTAGTCCTCTATAATGACCCTTCTTTTTTCGGCACCAGCTTTGGCGTCACCGAAATTATCAACATTTGCCTCAGCCTTGGCTACAATACCGTGAGTGAGTGAGTGAGTGAGTGAGTGGGTGGGTGGGTAGGTGAGTGAGTGAGTGAGTGAGTTGGTGGGTGAGTGAGTGAGTGGGTGGGTGGGTGGGTAGGTAGATGAGTGAGTGAGTGAGTGGGTGGGTGATTGAGTGAGTGAGTGAGTGAGTGAGTGAGTGAGTGAGTGAGTGGGTGGGTAGGTAGATGAGTGAGTGGGTGAGTGAGTGAGTGAGTGAGTGAGTGGGTGGGTGGGTAGGTGAGTGAGTGAGTGGGTGGGTGGGTGAGTGAGTGGGTGGGTGGGTAGATGAGTGAGTGGGTGAGTGAGTGAGTGGGTGGGTGATTGAGTGAGTGAGTGAGTGAGTGAGTGAGTGGGTGGGTAGGTAGATGAGTGAGTGAGTGAGTGAGTGGGTGGGTGGGTGGTTGGGTTGGTAGGTGAGTGAGTGAGTGAGTGAGTGATTCAAATTCACTCACTATGCCAAATCATTAACACGATTAACCCAAATTCTTGTAAATAATGTTAACCCGATCAAGTCAAAATACAAATGCCTGCAACGTATTTACACACAGGTCAGTTGTATTTGAGATAAAATGATAAAAGTAAAGTTATCACGACGATATTTACAGCCATTGGTTTGTCTCCTCTGACTTATTATATCACAACTCTCTGTTTATAAAAAAACCCTTAGTGTCTGCGTCATACAACAATATTCACTTACAATTACTCGGTTAGAATTCCGGGTCAGTAGCCCAAGATAACCTATGACCGGCGACTAAATTGTTGGGTGGTCAACCCAAAGCGTAGAACGTTGGCTACGATGTAGAAGCTGACGTTAATACCATTGACTTCGCAAAGACTATTTATGCGCTGCACATGGTGTGTCGTTTCTAGGCTCAGCACACCTCGTGGAGATGAATCATGTGCTATATATCATATCAAGCACACTTCTGCTCATAACCAACCATGAAAATGCCACCCAAATGGATGCAGTCATTTCTGATTCAGGCTCCGCATCTTTATGTATTTGTCAGCTCAGCCTTTTAAGTACAAATATTAATTTCAGCGAGCAGTCATAAAGATTGACAGGATCGAAGACAGTGCAGACAGTCGTCTCCGACTTGAACAACCGCCATCCCCGACGAGGAGGACGTTGTCCAACCTGAGCAGAAGGGTTTGTACTGGCTTGGCTTCATCAGAACAACCCCAAATAGTATAAGACGTACATGAGACATCCCAGACTTTATTAATCTTATCCGGTAATAGAACAAGAAACTGCCTACCAACATGAGACATACTTGTCAAGGAGCTTGGCGATTGTCTGCTACCGATATGAAACATTGGTGTGTTTTATGCTAATGCATAGTAGTTGAAGGATCGTTGTGTTTGGAGAAAGGTGATTTTAGGGAATCGAAAAAGTATGTTTGACGTTCTTGGTGAGTCATCATATGCAAATCACGTGATTCAGCGGCAGAGTAGTGAAATGAAAATGAAAACGATACCACTGGCGATGTATAACGGGATGCATGTCATGTATTGGTCATGCTCATTTACATACGAAACATACGCGCCACGCATACCTCGGTTTCGTCCTGCGCCATGACTGCTGAATTTATATTTATTAGGTTGTTTTTTTCCTAAAAGCCTCGGCAAGTCTACTTTGCTTGATTCCACAGCAGAGGGGGAAAGGTTCTTTCGAAAAAAAGAAAAATAATTATTTTAAAGTAATGTCTTCATGTAAGTCCAACCTCGGTTCTATTTTGACAAATATTAAGTCACATAAACCAGTGAACGAATTAGCAATACATCGCTTATACCAACTTAATTATATTTACACCGACACGAGACTTACTATTTGAAAAGGAAGTATAATTATCTACAAACTTAGTAACACAACGAGAGAGGATCATTGTGTACCTATGATTAAAAGTTATCAAGTATCATTGTGTTTTGTAGGCTCAAGAGTTGAAGAGGAAAGCTATCGATGGACCTCGCAGACGAGGTAAGACCGATGGTGGATGACCTGTTTTATGCGTGGTGTCTGGATTGTGAAAAACACTCAAACTATTGCTTGGTTTGCAGTGTGGTATACTATCCCTGTATACTATCCAATCTATCCCTGTAGCGTATTACGTAACAAATACGTTTAAACGTTGATAACATGAAGTGTGTTTCATTGCGAACACTTAATAAATATAATAAATCTGTTTTTAATTCTATTCAGTGTGAATCGCTTCCAAAATAATGCGAATGTTTATGAGAAATGAATATGAATAAAATCGTCTGGTCAATACGTATATCTAATTTCATGCAATACGTGAATAGACTTCGCCATCACTAATCTGAATTCTGGAATGGCTATTAGTATTTTCAACCTGAATTTTATAACTATATAGTTGTATATATTACGAACTGGTGCTAGATGTGGTGTGCTTATTGTTATTGCAAGTAACCCAAGGTATATATGTGCCCAACTCACGCCTCCCTGTTATATCTGTTCATTCTATTATGGGTATTCATAGTGTGTGTAATCCCATGTGCTAGTGCTTGCATGTTCATCGCAAAATGTGTCTGCATCCTCGATCAGAGCACGCTGTGTTTTCAATACTCCACGAGTCATGGATGATAATACATGATTTCAAATTCCGTCACATACCATTCCAGACAGTGTAGAAACCCCAGCAGCCCTGATCGTGGATTATCATGTCATTGTAGCCGGCTGTGCATGCTTTACTGTCCTATATCACGATCACGTTTTCCTAACACCAACATACACAAACAAAGGAAACGAAAGTAATCCTCCTGCTTTTAATATAGGTATGAGTGTTATTAAGTAGGTACGTGGACTTAGGGTCACAAACACAATACATATCCTTTGCAGGCACTAGGAGGAGGCCTTTACGTGCCCCGTTGGTTCACTGTGGTTTTACAGATTTTCAGCCTCTGATTCTACAGACAAGAACACGTAATCAGTGCACAGGTAAGCCTTGGGCACATCTCTTGCTGATGATGTTGGTGAGATGAGTTTCGACGCCGTTGTCACTAATACGAGAACTAGCGTATCACGGCGGTACCAGAGAGTGGATGAATGTCGTTTTAAGCCGCAGGTAGCAATATTGCAGTTGCATCACGGTGCTCGTTATTAAGCTCCGAGTGATTGATACCATGAGCATGGATCCACGCTATCAGGGTAGGATGACAGTCAGCCACTGTGACCATCTGATCTCCCTTTAGGGATTCGCCAATGGAATACTGTTTTCCCCAATGGAATACTGTTTTCCCCTCACCTTACATCCCATAATGTACAAAGCCGTGACACTGAATAAATGCTCGAGAGGGGCACAGGTGGCCAAGTCGTCTAAGGCGCCGCTATTGGCTGTGCAGAGTTGCGTCCCTTGCGCACGCCAGAAACCTATGATTGTGGGTTCGAATCCCGGTTCGCCCCGATTATGTTTCTAGGTTTGTCAGCACCATACCCGTGCTCGTGGGTTTCACCGAAGTGGTAAACGTCTGAGACCTGCATCACTTCGGGCTTTCCTCCCACATTGAGCTGACACGCCGTGATATGACTGGAATACTGTTAAAAGCGGCGTTTAACACAACTCACTCACTCAATACTCGAGAGGTCAGCTTCAACTCTGTAAGGGTACATCGACACGCTTTCAACCAGGACACAAATATCCAAAATGTAGTCATTATTGTCATCCAGTCAGCATTAGCCGTCTTTCGATAATAACATAAAACTGCCATAACCCTCGACTTGGATCCCTACTGGGCAATATTATGAAGGTACTTCTGGGAGAGCTATAAATGTTTAGGTTGCTGTTAGTGTTTGGAAATGGGACATTACCGTTGAAACGAACAGCATGTTGGCATTCAAGCACTTCCTGTGACGTCATACGATCATTCGCCTATTGCCATCAGGCATTCGTCATGTATGTCAAAATGGTTTAGGCTATTTTTTTCAAAGACAAGCTCGACACAGTTAGAAGCTCCATGGAGATACTGAAGCCAGAACACATAGTCATAACGTCCAATTCATTTTTCAACACTCATGTTAGGCATGGTTTTGTGTGTGCATTTACAAATTGTGTTCGGGTGCATGTGGTATATGGGCTGTTGGTAATCGTGTAGACATACGTTCCGATTATCCTGTCTGTCATTATTCATGTTAACGCTATGTTTTTTTAAGTTCACAGTTACAAACCTTTCGTGATGTATCCCTGCATGCCAAGGTGTATTGGTATTAAGTGGTAATGTGTGTGTGACCCCCATTCGATGTTGTATCACATTGAGAAAAATCAATTCATTTTTTTTTAAATTTCATTTTTGTAACACTAGTATTAGCTACTTGGTCATTGTGAAAAATATGTCATGTGCGATATTTTTCAAAACATCATTTTATCAGGATATTTATTTTTTTATTATCGGGAAATTTGAAATGGTTGTATTACTTGTATTTATTATTGTATGTTCCAGGTAGGAGACGTGTCACGCAATACAACAGAAATGCCGCGTATGAGAAGGAGCTCCGGAAGGATGAGTCGCGAAGGGCGTTGAACCGAGCCAAGCGACGGGCGCGCCTGCGCAGAGTGACTAGACAAGATGCGTCATATCCGGAAGACGAGGAGTATGACGACGAAGATGACGACGACACTGATGGATGTTGGGAAATCTCGAAGTCGAGTCAACGTCAGGCCGTTGGTCGAAGTAAGGGTGGTCTGATGATGAAACTGTATTACAGAAGTGGACAAGATACCCTGCCCACGAGAGGCCGTCGTACGAGACATGCGCAAGAATTCATTGGCCCTGAATGTGAGCGTCAGTCACCGAAGCTGCCGCGAGGCAAAGCTAGACCCCGCGGGAAGATGAAGACCAAAGGCAAATTTCAAAGTCAGTTCGAACAGTTCTTGAGGCAGGACCTAGGATCAGAAGGAGATCTGTTGGACGATTCTTTCGCAGTAAGTCCTTTTTTCACACCGGTCCCAACTTAAAATGCTTCCGCATTACATATACTTTTTAATAAAATGAAACTAATATTCCCACTTGGTTCGATCCCCGGTCGCGTCAAACCAAAAGACGTGAAAAGATGGTAATTGTTGTTACCCTGCCTGAAGTTTGACACCAAGGAGATAAAGTAAGGACTGGTCGGCTTCGAGTCAGTGTACTGTGTCTGAGTGGGGTATCCATGTTAAACTGCGGCATGGTATCTCAGTGGGCTAGCACTATAAATCGGCATCAGCCCGGACTAGTACAAGCAGCCACACACACGCACACAGACACACATATATAGGTGCTATATGGTGCAATAATCTTTAACGCAAAGTTAAACCTCATTTCACCTCACCTCACCTCACCTCACCTGACTTCACCTCAAACTCATGTTACAGCATTTTGGCGATGACGAGGAATCGACAATGTATCTTGTTCAGTCCGACGATGCAAACGGAAGTGTGATGTCGTATCCTATTCCGCCGGAAATGAAGAAATTGGCGATCAACAAAAATTCCGGCGAGACTCTGTTACACCGCGCAGCCCGCTTGGGATATGAGGTTTGTGAATATATTTATATATACTGCATTCCCAACACTAAGAGTGAATAAAACGAGTCAGAGAATGTTCAGCAATAATACCTCCACGTGTAAATAGCTTAGTCTGAAAAAGGCAAACCGGTGATTGAAAACATGAACATCGAACCGTGTCGTCGGGGCACGATGACACGCCATTAGCCCAAGCACCCGATCCGTGTTATTCACCACTTAGAAAAACATAAGTTACGTATGATCTATTATGACCACGTGTTGAATAAAAAGACTCAAATTTGAAAATATATTTTCAGTTTGAGAGGAGTTAAAAAAACTAAAGGAGACTGATAGTAACAACTAACGTACGCAGTTGGTCACACTTTTCTCTCGATAACGTTTTCCTTGCTCGCTAGTACCAGGAATTATGACATTCCAGATAACCTATTAAGCCTACGATAGCGTGTTGGCACAAAGCCAAGCCCACAACATTTAGATAACGCCAGAGTTAAATCAGAATATCACACACGAGTGACTCGGTGCAAAGGAAAGTGTACGTCGACACGTACACATGTCCAAGTACATAAGACATTGATTACAGGTTAACCGTTGGTACACCTTCAGCTGACACACTGCACTGTACCAGTAGATTTACGTTGAACGAGCCACACATGTGTACAATCAGCAGAATGATAGCCTGAGCACTGTAGATGACTCTGGGGTATAAATACCCAGCCTCCTGGACGTTGTGATCATATCGGATAACGAAACACAGGAAATTACACAAAGGACTTTTACCACATGACTTGAGTTACAATTGTCGATTTCCCGTACATTCCAATTGCACAATAGCAATTACTATTTGACATTTAGTCTGCTGTGGAATTGTATGTATTTACATTCAGTAAAGTTGTAACTTGTGGGAACCCGCTTTATGACTTGGAGGATCGTTATTTGATATAATTTTAATTGTAAGGTGAGCTCCAAAACGTGTAGCTCTATGTTCGTAACGGGCAACGGATAAGTCAGAGTTAATATAGAATGCTAGCCTCTGACCAGCACAATGTGGACATTAACCGTGATTGTTGCGACCAAATGTCAGTTATCTGAAGCTATAAAGTACACGATGGGCGTTTCATCCGTGTTCTTCGTGTTCATAGTTACACTTCAACATGTAACCTGAAGATCCGGGTCAGAATAGGTCTTCAGCAACCCACGTTTGTTATAAGAGGCGATTATGCTTGTCGTAAGAGGCAACTAACGGGATCGGGGGGTCAGGCTTGCTGACTTGGTTGATGCATGTCATCGTATCCCAATGGCGTAGATCGATGCTCATGATATCAATCACTGAATTGTCTGGCCCAGACACGATTATTTACAGACCGACGTTATACAGCTGGAATATTGCTGAGTGCGGCGTTAAACAACAAAGAAACAAACAACGGAATACGTACAAGGTTAAGTACAGTAAAGTACGGTTATAACGAACTCAAAGGGACTACTAATTTTAGTTCGTTATAACCGTAGTTCGTTATAAGCATATATACAGCATAACTACAGCCAATAGTCGGGACCAATAAAGTAAGTTCGTTATATCCGTCAGTTCGTTATAAGCGTGTTCGTTATAACCGTAGTTTACTGGATGTCATTTTTGAAGGTTTCATATTTAGGGTCCAGGTGACTATCACATCTACACCCCACCACCACAATGGCCCCTGTGTAGCGGTAGTTGAGATACGCTGTCGCCATATGTGTTGAAAATGTTTTCGATTTTCTGGATAACGGTACATTATGCTGCCAGAAACGAGTGGCACGTCTGCAGGCTTCAGACCGTTTGACATGTGTCGACGGTTTATGGGCATTTTATTCCACATATCTACAGACAGCTTGAATAACGCCTTCCCTAACATAAATGCTAAACGTTTCACATGCCAATGGCAAGGTCAGAATATATATAGACCTCTACTTCATGACTGGTGGCGTCGATGACACGCGCTGGCCGACCGCAAGGAAGGCCTGAGTTACTACACAACGCATGAAATTGAGCGATTATCAATTTTGTATGATAAAACGACGATAAAAGTGAACATTGCTTGAAACAGGATACCGATATGTGTCCGTTGACTTCATGTCTCGTGATAACAGACCCATTTGTATAATGAAATATACATCTAGGTCACACCATCAGCATGAAATAGATTAGAGTTGAGCGTACACCGTCGCGCGAGTGGGCGATGCGACATCGGCTTATATGCACCGGAGATTCATCTATCGTTGAAAAAAGCTCGTATTTAATCGTCCCGTCGCGATAATTTGCTATTGTACCGGAAGTCTGTGCACTTTTTAATATGTGCAATATTTAATATAAATAAACTCTAAAGACAAAATAAACCCATTTTCGCAGATTTGTTTTAGTATGGGCGGTTTATATAAAATATGAATCTGAGCCTGCTGTGTCGTTTTAAACCTGGATCAAACGTCCTTTTCACCACACGCGTTCAGCGCATTAAGCTTCAGATAAAAAAAATCCTATTAGTCATTCAAAAGGAAGTCACGTGATACCTGTTACCGTTTTCTGTTTGACCTATATTTGCTATGAATACGACAAACAACAAAACGTAGCGACCACCTCGTCAGTCGCGATGGCATGTTTTCGTCCGGTGCTCCATTGTCAGTGGTAACGCTTCAAAGCCTCTCCCAGCCATATCTGCGGTGACGGTCTTGTGAGTTTGAATAGCGACGTGAATAAACCTAGTCAGGGACAATGATAGAGCGTTCTATGCTGAAATAGGACACCTCGCTTAAACGATTGTCACGGGTTTTTTTTACTCTACGCATTGTTAATTTGAATTAAGCAGCCCAAACCTAAGAGAGTTGTGTTTATTAAACACATTGTATTGTCTATAACACAAATGGGTTGGGATACAGAGGATAGGTTTAAAAATCTACATGATTATTACGGAATATGTTTTTTTTCTGGCGCATATAAATCTCCATCACATTAAATTTTGAGATAAATGAAACCCCGCTAAACCAGACTGAAGCATCATCTCTGAAATCGACCGGATCAACAATGTCCGTATTGACGAGTACAAAGTAAGGTAGAATCATGAGTGCAGAATCCATGCTTGTCTTAAGAGGCGACTAACGGGATCGGGTGGTCAGGCTTTCCGACTTGGCTGATGTCATCGTATCCCAATTACGTGGATCGATGCTCGTGATGTCGGTCACCGGATTGTCTGGTCCAGACTTGATTATTTACAGACCGCCGTTATACAGCTAGAATATTGCTGAGTGCGGCGTTAAACAAAAAGACACGAGTACAGAGCAGTTTCACTTTGTAATCATATCAGCCTCCGCAGTCCGAATGTTGAGATTTCCGGATTATCGAGGTCTTGGCCAAAAAGGTTTCACTGCAAACAAATGCATGTCGATTTAATCATATGAAGCATATGCAGATGGTGTTTCGCAAACACCACATACTATTTTTGTTCTTCAGGACAGAAATTATTGTTTGAGCGTGAATAATATATTCCTCACGCGTTGTCAGGAAATGGTATATGCATGCAAATATCCAACGACGTAATTCTGAAACACGAAATTAACACAACACGAAGAATATCGACAGGTGTCAAATGTGCCGTTCAGTCTTCACGAGCTTATCTCAAGCAGGTCACGTGATCTGCTAATGACAACACACTAATCAATACATGCTGCACGAATGCCCTCAAAGTAGGTCACACCAATCGTGCGAAGGATCCAATTAATATGGCAGAAGGAGCGTCGGTACAATCAATATCCCACGCAGACTAATGTGCAGAACGGCAGCGCATGTTGAACATATATATATATATATTCAGTATAGTTTACCAACAGATGTCACGCAGCACTGGAAATTATTACAACGGCAGCATGTGCAAAGGATGTGGCATTACAATGTATGTGTGTGAATCATACTGCGATAGTGTGTATGCGTGGTCGCTCGCGTTGATAGCGTAATGTAACGTGCATGCTTTGGAGGACAAAAGTGAATAAGCAATGAATTGCATGTGCTGCTGTAACTCCATGTTCGTTTTATATCGTATTCCGGTATTTGTTACTTGTGCTTAGGATAGGTTGTTACGAAAATTATACCAGGTGCGATACATAAAACGGATGCTGAATAATAACTTAATTCCATTTGTTTTCCGTGCAGACAATGATATCCCGCGGCGAATTGAATCGCGATCTTTCTCTTAGTACCTAAATCCTCATGTTGAAAAAAACGTGACCATTAAAGGTGGTTGAAATACACGTACATTTATCACGAGATCTGGTTAACTCGAACATCATTATCTCGATTTATTATTTAATACGATGTTTCTCTGTATAATCGACACTTCGGTCTGATATCGGTACTCCGCTTAGCCAGAACTACGCTTAACTCGAGATAACTCATGATTATAATGACGTTTGGATTATAATGACGTTTTAAGAACCTCTTTCTCATAGTCAAGCTAAGCAAAATGTCTTTTTTCAAGTTGGAAAAACAACGACTTAATTTAAAAAAACAAACTTGATTGTTAGCTTTGTTCTCATGTAAGTAGGGGCGGCGGGTAAAAGCTTACGCTCGTCACGCCAAGGACCCGAGTTCGATTCACCGCATGGGTACAATGTGTGAAGCCCACTTCTGGTGTCCCCCACCGTGATATTCCTGGAATATTGCTAAAAGCGGCGTTAAACCATACTCTTTCACTCACCTACTTCCATGTAAGCATACGTCATTGCCATTACGTGTTAGATCCGTTTCAAACATGACATAAGCTTCATCAACGTTCCCTTATGTGTTTATAGATTGGGACAGACTTAGAGTGTGGCGCACTTATTTTGAATATGACATAGTTACTTCGACTGTAACACACTTACTTCTACCGTAGCACATTTATCCCGACTGTGACACACTTACTTTGACTGTAACACACTTATTTCGACTGTAACACACTTATTCCGACTGTAACATACCTCCTTCGACTGTGACACACTCATTTCAACTGTAACACACTTACTTTTACTGTAACACACTTATTCCGACTGTAACATACCTACTTCGACTGTGACACACTCATTTCAACTGTAACACACTTATTTCGCCTGTAACACACTTATTCCGACTGTAACATACCTACTTCGACTGTGACACACCCATTTCAACTGTAACACACTTACTTTCACTGTAACACACTTATTCCGACTGTAACATACCTACTTCGACTGTGGCACACCCATTTCAACTGTAACACACTTACTTTGACTGTTCAACACTTATTCCGACTGTTACACCCTTATTTCGACTGTAAAACACTTATTCCGACTGTAACACTAATTTCGACTAAACACACTAATGTTCGACTGAAACCCACTTATTTTGAATGTAACACACTCACGCCGGCTGTAACACACTAATTTCGACTTAAAACACTAATTTTCGACTGAAACCCACTAATTTCGACTGTGACACTTATTTTAAATGTAACACACTCACGCCGGCTGTAACACACTAATTTCGACTTAAAACACTAATTTTCGACTGAAACACACTTATTTCGACTGAGAGACACTTCCAGTAAACTACGGTTATAACGAACACGCTTATAAGGAACTGACGGATATAACGAACTAACTTTTTAGTCCCGACTATTTGCTGTAGTTATGCTGTATAAATGCTTATAACGAACTACGGTTATAACGAACTAAAATAGTAGTCCCTTTGAGTTCGTTATAACCGTAGTTTACTGTATTTCGAATGTAACAATGTAACTCCTGATGTCACAGTTATTTCGACTGACGTTTACTTAGTGACGCATCGATCCCCCGCCCTACATATACTGTGACTGCATAAAACACGTGCCGTTTGATCGGTATTGACCGGGAAGAAAGCAACGATAACACCAGCCGCCATTGCATTTATAATTTCCATGACAAATCAATAACGACGTTGTGGAGCCGGTAACATCTCTACAATTCAACAGCCAGGTGCCAGCATTGCGCAACACCAATTTAATCGGGATTCCCATCTGTTGACGGGCTCCCAGTCCAAACTTACCGTTAGGATGAAGGGAGGGAACATGTTGCGTGTCAAGGCCAGGACGACCATTAATGTAATAATTAACAGTAATACAAGCTCAGCAACAGACACACGTGTCTGTGCGATAATTGACAAACAGTTATATTATTGATAATGATGTAATGCCTTGAGGGCGACAAAATACACACTTTGCTTGTAGAAAGAGGCGACTAACGGGATAGGGTGGTCAGGCTCGCTGACTCGGTTGATGCATGTCATCGTATCCCAATTGCGTGAATCGATGCTCATGATATCAACCAGTGGTTTGTCTGGTCCAGACTCGATTATTTACAGACCGCCGTCATATAGCTGACTATTGTTGAGTTCGGCGTTAACCAACAAACAAACAAAAACCAACTTATTTATTTATTTATTTACTTTCTATGCCAAATCGTTGCAATTCAATGCAAGTCGTATATTGTGAAAAACTTCTTAATCAAGTAAATCTGGATATTTCTAATTAGATGTGATAGTTTAGGGCTTTAGAAAAATGTGCTAGTCATTTTGTCACGATATCTGAATAAACTCTGACGAAACGCACGAGTCACACCTTGAACATACTTGCCGTGAGGTTGTGTTATGTATGGGATCTTTTATTACATGTAAGCATTGGTCCAGTGTGGCCATTTTAAGACACGCCGATACGTAAGTGGCTGAACATTATGTCTCGAAGGCAGATTAAGGAACGCGTGTGGTATCGTCTTTATCTTAAGCAACCTCCGTGGCAGTTCCATTAAAATAAATCGATACAATGGGTATGAACGTGGCGGCGGCGCCCCGAAGGCATATTTTCCAACAATGTGATGCAAAGTTCTGACCATATTGATTAGATACACAACGATATCTCTCATGCGTATAAAACGTTGTTTTTTTAATTCAAAACGGTTCACACGCAAAATCGAACGGTTGGCCTCTGTTCTGCCGTGACAGGTTGATAGGATGATCACAATGTTTTTTGTTTGTTTTGTTTGTTGTTTAACGCCGCACTCAGCAATATTTCAGCTATATGACGGCGGTCTGTAAAATAATCGAATCTGGACCAGACAATCTAGTGATTGACATCATGAGCATCGATCCACGCAATTGGGATCGATGACATGTATCAACCAAGTAAGCGAGCCCGACCACCCGATCCCGTTAGTCGCCTTTTACGACAAGCATAGTCGCCTTTTACGGCAAGCATGGGTTGCTGAAGACCTATTCTACCCGGGAATCTTCACGGGTCTGATCACAATGTAGAAATGTGCGTGTGTATTTACAGCGGAATGTGCTTTCTTGACTGTCGTCATAACGGCTTATGATGATCGAGTGGACACAATGAATGGACGTATGGCTGTCTATGTGTATATACCGGACGCAATGTCTTCATGGTTGTTGTAGTAACGGCACATAAGGATCGAGTGGACACAATGTTTGATATGACACAATGTACGTCATCGTGCCCCGATTGCGTGGATCAACCACTGGATTACCTGACAGGTCTAGATTCGGAACTGGCAACGGTGACAAAAAGAATATCGCGTGATTGTGACCCGGGCGCGTTTTCTGTCATCCCAATTCGTACATGACCTAATGAGCAGTCAGTGTGTCCACCCAATCAACATTTCCAGTGGTCTTGGTTATCATATAACGAAGGAGACAGGCCAACGTGGATGGTGTACCTGCAAGGGATCGTGTGGCAGCTGTAACGCCCGTGTGTCCTATTCACTCACTCGTAAGGCAAAAGGGGCAGTAAACGTTTGTGGGGAGCATGGTACTTGTTTTACCAGGTAAACAATCTCCCCCTTCCCTCCGGCGCGCGGAGACTGATTGCCCCCCACCCCCGCACACAGGGGATGTTTTTGTGCGACTGTTTGTTTACCCGTGTATCTCCCCAACAGCCGTACGTGACGTCGGGCGGGACACCAAGCCGCAAATGATGTCACCGCGAACTTTGTTGAACGCTAAAAAGTAGGACGACTTGTTTATTTTGGGTGCGGTGTTTAGTCAAGCGGCCGTTGTGACATAAATACCATCGGCTATGAGAGAAGTCAGGTGGATTGTGAAGGATTGAGAGAGCGGGCGTTACAGGGTTTAGAGGAGACTCGCTTGTCACGTACACGTAACATGGATTACGAATGCATACATACACATGCACGCACGCACGCACGCACACACACACACACACACACACACACACACACATACGTTGGATTTGTGACCCTCTCTCTGTGTATATATACGCATATACACACATATAGCACATCGTTTTTTCACAATAAACAAATATATCGGTAAAATCACCACGTCGTGATTAACTATGATTTAAAACAGCCTTTGCAGCGACCCCTAAGCTGGTACGGTGCAGATATTGACGTCGTTATATTGGCGATATAGTGAACATTTAGCAGGAAGAAAGAAAAGTCGCTCCCTAAATGCTTCGGTTACAACTTTTGAATAAGCTCGGTTTCATTGAATGTAAAACAGACTTTCAAATTTAGCAAGAATGCAGGCAACGCTCGAGGCCAAATTGAAATTTGAGAATGTCAAGACACGCGAATAATACAATCATAGATGCAGCGGGGAGGTTTTGAATTCATAAAAATGGAGAGTACAAACAGCCGTTGCTGTAATGATCTGCTGATTTTCACAGATTCCGTCTAAACTTTGCCCATCTCTTCACACCCCGCTTTCTATTCGCACCCCACCTACTGTGACCCCCCTCCCCTTGTCTCCCCCTCCCTGAACGCATTAGTCAGCACGGCCGGAAATCAAGGCTTGAGGCAGCTCGCTCGCCAGGCATGACCCCTCGCCCGATGTTGTCATAGCAACCGTCCTGACGCATGCATGCCGAGATTACCTAAGTTTAGATTACGTAAATTAATATGTTTTCCATGGAAGGCCTGTCTTATAAATCGGTCATCCTACTTAATGCCACGAAGAATTAATGCACGTACCCTTCCCAGCGTAAGCCGGGGGATAAAATACTAACGTGCTATGTACCGTAGATAATCTAAAATACCACATCTCAGTGTCTACATTCAGATAAGTTATGCGTGGAGTTACAAGTTTAATTCGATGTGGTATTTCCGATCAGCGCGGCTAGACGATATATTCTAATGGTTTCATATTGAATTTAGATATACAGCTCCGATGCTTTTTTCGCGAAGGAATGTGTTCACATTTATCAATTATATTTTTAAATTAGCTATTATATTAGCATAAGCTAAACGTCTGCTACCTGAAAAAAGCATAAACGCCAGCTGTGTCATTTTCGTGATATTAGTCATTAATATTTGCACATTATTAACATATTACTTGATGATAAAGGATCGTATCGATCGTAAGGCAATGAATACACATAAACTCATTATGTGCGTGCAGAATAAAGTATTTATATATATTAAAAGTTATACTGGTTTAGAAGCCGATTTGTTTGTGTACTGTTTGTGTTACAGTTGTCTCCCCTTGTTTTAGGACGTGGCCTTGTACTGCATACGTACGCACACAGTCCAAGTTAATGCGCGAGACAATGCGGGATACACCTCACTGCACGAGAGTTGCGTGAAGGGCAACATCAACGTCGCACGTCATCTCATTGAACATGGTGCGGACGTCAACTGCTGTTCTCAGGATGGTATCAGGTGAGGAACGTCATCACTTCATGTGTAAACGTCATCAGGTTTGGAGAAGAACGTCGCTACATACTACGCACCCGAAGTAGAAATTAGTACCGTTGTTCTTAAATAAAAGACAGGTTACACTCCCCAATGACACGTTTCAATCAAAGAAGACTCAATCCTGTTTATAATGTGGCTGTACAAACTCTCATTTACAAACATGTGTTGGCGCAACGACATTTATGACGTCATTGCTTCGTGTGTACAGTAAACTACGGTTATAACGAACTCAAAGGGACTACTGTTTTTAGTTCGTTATAACCGTAGTTCGTTATAAGCATATATACAGCTACAGCAAATAACTATATAACTACAGCAAATAGTCGGGACTAAAAAGTTAGTTCGTTATATCCGTCAGTTCGTTATATCCGTCAGTTCGTTATAAGCGTGTTCGTTATAACCGTAGTTTACTGTACATTGACTTCCCTAATCTGCGCACAGGACGCGCTGCGATGTTTACCTCAGTTTGATTCGTGGTAGTTCCTGCGTAGCGTCACCTTTAAGGCAGGCACATTAATGTCATAAATAAGATATGCTTTTATCATCCACCCAAGATATGAAATTCGAGATATTAAATTGCATATCTGGACAGATTGTGCAATGCATACTGATATTCCAATGAATAATCGCCTACCTCATCAATATGACATCAGATTTTTGTCAACTGAATGGTGATTACAAATGTATAATAACAGTATATTCCGCACGCGTACCGATTCGTGCTCAGCGTAATTTAGGATTAAGTAAACATGGCAATGAGTCTGTTGATCAAGCTCGTCGTTGAAACGTACTTCACATCAGCATAGAATATACGCGATAGTCGTTCTGCACACAAGCAAGCCCCTAGCGACAAGTACATCGCATTCCCTTACCCCATTGTCAGTCGACATGGCTTAGCGTATCCCGGGTCATTGAGTACATTACATTTTAATCTCGCAACAACCGGGTCATTTGTAAAGATAAGGGACTTTTTTTTCGAAGTCAGCGTAACCTAAATATTTCAGAACTTTAATCGTTTCGCGTTGCGAGCTAAACCTAAAAGAATTGTTGATGTTTTATCAAATATATGTGAAAGCGGGCAACCATATCTCGAGGCATGCCAGATCTTGCTCACATCAATCAATTACCGTTTTCAAAATATGTTTTGAAGCATTCCGACTGGAGAAGGATTTTTTTCACCGCGCGCAAAATACCAGCGGATAATGAATGTGCTCATTCTTCTAAGAGGGCTTTCCCGCCGCCATTACCGTTTGATGTATAGATAAGTAAGAGCCAGGAGAAGGCGCGTAGAGTGGTTCTCGCAATGTCATCTTGGCAGCTTGATTTATTGGAACTTGACGCGTGTGCAGTGGAACATGAAATACACGTTAGGTATTAAATACAACAAAAAACATTCATGTCATAGCCTTTTCCCCCGTACACGCCTACCTGATGCATTTATCTACATGTTGCGTCGACTGCATTGGCTCGTTGTCGCCAGCCTCTCCCCGATTCAGTGTTTACAACAGAGTGGGGGGATGATTTCGACATGTTTACGCGTATTTGAAGATACATATTGCTATCGCTTGTGTCAGCCTTCGACTGTGTAACTGCGTATATGATTACACGGCACACAGAGGACAGGAGCCGTGTAGGTAAACACGGTATCGACTTTCCGCCGAGTTGTTTGTTTTCTACATATGCCATTCCGGTGTAGCCAACATTACATTCGTGACCGCCTCCGTGGTCTAGTGGTAGAGCGTCCGCCCGGAGAGCGGAAGGTCCGGGGCTCGATCCCCGGCCGCGTCATACCGTTAACAGATGGTACTTGTTGTTACCCTGTCTGGTGCTCGGCATTAAGGGGCTAAAACAAGGACTTGTCAGCTCGGAGTCAGTATACTGTGTCTGAGTGGGGTATTCGTGTTAAACTGCGGCATGGTATCTCAGTAAGCTAGCACTTTCAATCGGAATCAGTCCGGACTTGTACAAGAAGCCACACACACACACACACACACACACACACGTACATGCTCGTCGCTATATAAGTGCAATAATCTTGGACGCGACGTTACCGTTAAACCCCATTTCACCTCACCTCAATGCATTCGTATTCGCGTTTAGTGTGTCGTTTTTAAACACATAGGTCAAGGGACAGTGGGAAGAAATACCTTGGGGTTTAATTTTGGACATTTTGGTTCGAATCGGAGTTTGCGTGAATGTTGGTTTACGACTGAATGAGCTAGTTGTATTTTACGCCGCTTTTAGCAATATTCCAGCAACATCACGGCGGGGACCCCAGAAATAGGCTTCACACATAGTACCCATCGAACCCGGATCTTTGGTGTGAAGAGCGAACGCTTTAGCCACTTTGAGACCCCACTGTCCCTTACGTCAGAGAAACCTATTCCAGTTATTTCACGGTAGCCGGAGCCTGCGGGAATTCTGGTTTTAGTGGGTCTCAAGCAAGATAGGTTTGTCCTTAGGTGTAACATAATGGGTCGGGAGAGCAGGTGACTCGGTGGATTGCCTAACCCGACGTAGTGGGGCGATGCTCATTATGTCAATCATTGGTTTGATGGATTCAGACACTATTCACAAACGCTGATCAACCGATAGCATGTATCGATTCACGTTCTCAAAACACCCGGGCCAGATGTAACAGATTAAGAAATTAAATAATATCATAATTCGATATTCTTTGTCACATCGCGCCTGTCTGATCGGGTCCAACTGCACGCATTCAGTCTCCTTCACGTAACCATTCCCTCTTTAAGTTGCTGCATATATAAACCACATATAATAACACAATACGTCCTGCTTGGTGCAAGATTAACACGTGGCGGCTGTGTGATATTCAGAACGGGGCCAACGTTAACGTTAATGATGTCAAAGGTCAAGTACCCTTTCAGAGAATCACTTAATCAATGTGCGTACTGCATCACGTAGCCTTGCGCCAAGGCTGTACTCAATGATAAGTCCAAGGGCGTACAGTAATCTTATCCTTATAATAAGCAAGTCTAGATAGGACGCCAGTCTTTTCTGGGGACAACTTGCTCTTATTATAATATATAATCTAGAACTTTTTATTTAAACTATGAATTATTTCCTTAGAGATTTAGGCAAGTCTATGCGTCAAGACGAGAAACGGTTTTGTATTAGCGAGTTGATGAAACGAAAAATTGCGAATGTCCGTTGTAATACGTTTGGCACTAAAATACGTGAGTTTCTATGCACTGAAGTATAAATGAATATGATTTATTAATAATAATAGCCCCGAGTGCAACTCTCATTTAGCATGACACGTGCGTAGGAAAACAAAACTCTACGTCCCAAAATAATAGCTCCGCAAGGCATATCAAGCTGGATCAATACAGTAATAGGGATTTGTTTTCGTGAAAGTGACATCTTCACCACTAGGTGTCGCTTCGATTAATGAAAGCTTGTATTTAATGCATGCGTGGAGCAAATGCGGTGATTAATGGTGTCTTTTTTTCTGAATCCTGCCTCGGTTGGGGTGTTTAATCTAATCAAATTTTCTATCAGTAACTATTTGTCTGAAAGTATTAACGCTTAAAATGGCATTATGTTGTTTTTCAACTTTTCTTGAGAACGTGTCATTGTTTGACTGCAACCGGACTTGAACAATATGTTCACCATCTTGTTAAGCCGTACACGAACGGGCTTTCACGTGTTGTATTTTTAAACCGACCCAACCGGTTTGCGTACGTCATGAAATGCAGATGCACTTTAAGCAGAACTTACAACATTCTAGCCAAATATTTTATATGACAACACGCAAGCTCAACTGACGGAGTACACACACACAACATGTCGGCGGTATGCCTCAAGTGACCCGAGCTCATGCTTGCTGGTAATTCGATAGCCTTTCGTGGCCCGTTGCAGCGTACTCTTATCGACAAACCCACGCTATGGTCTGTTTTATAATTTGATTGTTTGGCCGACTCCCATGATAGCTTCACAACGCAGGCTCGCATTCCAATGATATTCCGTAAACAGCATTCAGTGATTATCATTCCGGTGAACTCGACGATTAATTAAAATTGGGTTTTGATATTTACGGAGGCAACCACGTTATATTATGAATTCATACGAGATATGCAACGTACTTTTGGGGCACGCGTGGCCCCGTCGTCTCATGCCCCGCAATTCGCTGTGCAGAGTTGCGTTTCTTGGGCAGTCAAGAAGCCTATTATTGTGGGTTCGAATCCCGGTTCGCCCTTATTATGATTCTAGTCGTGCTCGTGGGTTTCACTAAAACGATAAATGTCTTAGACCTACACCACGCCTGGCTTTCCTCCCCCATTAAGGTGTTAACGCAGTTATATAAAAGGACTTCTGTTCAAAGCGGCGTTAGAACCAACTCGCTCACTCACAATGTGACCGCCTCCGTGGTCTAGTGGTAGAGCGTCTGCCCGGAGAGCTGAAGGTCGGGGCTTCAATCCCCGGCCACGTCATACCAAAAGACGGTAAAAGATGGTACTTGTTGTTACCCCGCCTGACGCTCGGCATTAAGGGGCTAAAACAAGGACTGGTTGGAGACAGTATATTGTACGTATATGTATCTAAGTGGGCTAGCACTATAAAATCGGTATTAGTCCGGACCAGTACAAACAGTCACACACACACACACGTGCATGCAGGTCGCTATCCATATAAGTGCATGTCAGCACCATACCCGTGCTCTGGTCTACACTGAAATTTCTTTGTACCGACGCTAACTCGCTAAACGGGCTGTATAAAGTTTTAGACTTTGTAACAACCACCTAGTCTCTGTCACTAGGGGATATGGGGGCACGGGTGGCCCAGTCGTTTAAGGCGCCGCGATTCGCTGTGCAGAGTTGCGTCCCTTAGGCACGCCAGAAACCTATGATTGTGGGTTCGAATCCCGGTTCGCCCCGATTATGTTTCTAGGTTTGTCAGCACCATACCCGTGCTCGTGGGTTTCACCGAAGTGGTAAACGTCTGAAACCTGCATCACTTCGGGCATTCCTCCCACATAAAACTGTCACGCCGTGATATAATTGGAATACTGTTAAAAGCGGCGTTAAACCCAACTCACTCACTCACTCCCTAGGGGATATGTGAGACCATTGATTTATTTGATCGATTCAATCATTCGCCAACTTCTTCATCAATACAGCTAACGCCATGATAAATATTTTACACAAAAAAGAGCATTGCCCGAACAGCGAGGAATGTCAGGTTCGTTAATATTATTAATCAATCATTCATTAGGATGCAAAGAGATTCTTTTTTATGTCTCGTCAATATCTTTCAAGGTCACATTATCTCTTCAGTCGAACTTGTGTCTGAACGCGCGTGTCGAAGCATGACGTCAGCTTAATTTTGGCCTACTGACCTAGATGTCTGCCCGCACAAAGCCCACAACGCATGCCTTGGTGTGAAAGTCATGCACGCTGCCCTTGTCTGTTATTATCATAAATCAGCGCTCAGCTGTCATTCTAACTGAAATTGATTTGGTCACGTGATTACCCCGACAGCTGACCTTTTCACGTGTAATTGATGGCGGGCTCACGTGACAACGTTCACAATTCTCCACCGCGCTCGGTTTTGTGAAACTCATTAGCTTGTTTCTAACCGAATATTTTATGATCTAATACCAGTCTTTTTAAACGTCAGTAAGGAATTAGCAGTAATTGGATATCAATGAATAACATGAACGTGTGATGCAATTGTTCCTGAATCGTTTGTGTTCGATCACGTCAGCGAATATTGTGGTTGCCAAGATTCACAGCGCTTTCACCCGCTTTCAGTTTTATACGTGAATGCTTTTGTACACAAAGTACATAATATGTGTGTCGCGATGACCTGTAAAATAATTGATGGCATACAATCAGCCGGATCACGCATATACACACAATTCCCATCGAGTCAGTGGCTCGAAACTCGGGTAATTGCTCCGACTTTGCCCCGCAATACCTGAAGGGCAAACTGGGAAAAATCAGCTACGGGATTATCTAGATTGCACTCATTACGAGATATCTCGGCTCATCCCGATACCAACACAACCCTTTAAGCAGAAATAAGTCCACTTGAGACACTGCCGAAAGGTGAGGTGAGGTGAAATTGGGTTTAACGTCGCGTCCAAGATTATTGCACTTATATAGCGACGTGCATGCACGTGTATGTGTGTGTGTGGCTGCTTGTACTAGTCCGGACTGATGCCGATTTATGGTGCTAGCTCACTGAGATACCATGCCGCAGTTTAACATGAATACCCCACTCAGACACAGTTTACTGACTCCGAGCCGACCAGTCCTTGTTTTAGCCCCTTAATGCCGAGCGCCAGACAGGGTAACAACAAGTACAATCTTTTAACGTCTTTTTGTATGACGCGGCCCGGCACTGCCGAAAGAGCCATTCCGCTCATGGTGGGGTTGGCAAATGACAAAGTCAGTGGCTTTTTCATGGTTAACAGAAGTACGTTTGTACACTGATATCTAGACATTTAATCCCAGAAATAAAGTTATCTTACTTCGTAATATAAATGTACAAAATGAAAAAAATAAAATCCAAATGGAGCTTCAAACAATCCTCAAATTCCTAGAGCTGAGGCAATCTTGACTTCCCAAATCATTCTAGACTTGAATTGAAGTCGTTTTTAACAGTTTTCTCTTGGGTCTAGGTGACTGACAGATATCGAGCAATATGTATTTAACGGTAAAATTTGCAGTGGAAACATATTCTGTGATAGTCACGTGCACTATTGAAACTAGTGACTCCTGTTCAACCATGGTCAGAACATTTAGTTTTGAATGAGAGACTGGTCCAAGTCTATGAGCTTCCGTCTAAGGCGCCGCGATTCGCTGTGCAGAGTTGCGTCCCTTGGGCACGCCAGAAACCTGTGATTGTGGGTTCGAATCCTGGTTCGCCCCGATTATGTTTCTAGGTTTGTCAGCACCATACCCGTGCTCTTGGGTTTCACCGAAGTGGTTAACGTCTCAGACCTGCATCACCCCCTGTGATATAACTGGAATAATGTTAAAAGCGGCGTTAAACCCGACTCACTCACTCATTGGTCACCGCACCAATTGTTTTTAGGTTATATTTTCATGTTATTATATCACATGACACTAAAAACAGATCTCTCTACCGCAACCACCCACAGCCCCACCCCATAATGTCCAATAGCTGGTCCCTTAACCACTGACATTCTATTGGTATTTTTTATCTTATTTCCACATTAGTATGTATGTAATTATCGCAGTAGGAACGAACCTATTTCTGGAACTTCTATAAACAGAAATTCAGATTAGAGTTGCGCGGAGAGAGCTATTCCCCAACATATGGTAATCTGGCGGATCTCAGTCGTCGTCGCTGTTTCCGCACATCGATGTAGGTCTACGTTACAAGTTTAATGAGTATATAGCATTTCATTCATTTTTGAAACAATGGTAATGGTAGTTGAAACATAACTTTGTATCAGCAGTTCTTTTTGTTTCACATACTTCTCAATCATCATCATCAGCAGCAGCAGCATCATCATCATCATCACCTCCCCTAGTGGTTGGTTGTTTGGGTTTTTTAGCGCCGCACTCAGCAATATTCCAGCTATCATCGAGTCTGGACCAGACAATTCAGTGATTGATATCATGAGCATCGATCCACGCAATTGGGATCGATGACATGCTTCAAACCAAGTCAGCGAGCCTGACCACCCGATCCCGTTAGTCGCCTCTTACGACAAGCATGGTCGCCTTTTCCGGCAAGCATGGGTTGCTGAAGACCTATTCTACCCCGGACCTTCACGTCATCTACCCCAGTGACGATCCGGGTTAGGATGTCCGTATTATTTCAAGTCCCGCCCGCCTTGGAATAAAAAAAATCTGTATTTCAATTCTCCACGTCGCTATGGAAAATTATGCTCCGATGTGACAAAAACAAATACACGACTACAATTGCACGCTCATAAACAAACACAGGTCAGCTTGATCACTCTTCAGCTATGTTTATTTAAAATTCGTTTCCGTGGGAAAGCTTCTCGACGTACGTCATAAATTAATTCAAAGACATACCAAGCGTTTTAAATTTTAAAATGTGATTTTTGGTATTCAGTACCCCATTTTTGTCATACGAGATGACTAACGGGATCGGGTTGTCAGGCCCGCTGACTTGGTTGAAACATGTCATCGTATCCCAATTACGTTGATCGGTGCTCTTGTTGTCAAACACTGCAGCTATTTCTTTCTCAACTCCCGTAAGAATCGTGATAAGCAATGATATAAACCATCACATGATCATACTACCGGATACCCATTATGAAAAGGGTGGGGTGGATTTCAATATGCATTAAGTTAAAAATACATGCCTGTATGAGTCGGATCCCGCGTGTACGCTGTTGTATCTTTTTGTCTGTTGTATCATGTAATTTGGCCTTTGGCCTATACCGAATAAACAGGCTTATTTAATGTGCTGGCTTAACCGTTCTTCTTCTACGACTTGAGGAAATGCAGTTTTACCATAGGCTGAGTTGATTTATCAGTGCGCGGGGACGGATTTAAAGGATGACCGATTTTGTATACACAAGGCGTATTTGATTCTAGTAGTTTATATATGTACACATATGCATAAGTATAGATAAGTATATAAAGTTACATAGTCTAATACAGATAATGCGGTAATTGTGGAGTGTGTCCTGGAATCAAATACATATACATATACAAATAATATATATATTTAATCACATATATATATATATATGTAAATGACCCGTGAAGATTCCGGGATAGAATAGGTCTTCAACATCCCATGCTTGCCGTAAAAAGGCGACTATGCTTGTCGTAAAAGGCGACTAACGGGATCGGGTGGTCAGGTTTATGACTTGGTTGATGCATGTCATTAATCCCAATTGCGTGGATTGATGCTCATGATATTAATCAATGGATTGTCTGGTCCAGACTCGATTATTTACAGACCGCCGTCATATAGCTGGAATATTGCTGAGTGCGGCGTTAAACAACAAACCAACCAAGCAACCTATATATATATATATATATAGAGAGAGAGAGAGAGAGAGAGAGAGAGAGAGTCGCCATTCAGTTTGTTTCCGAATATAAACTTCTATCCATCTCTATATTTAAAAAAAAACTTAAATGCCCTTTGAATATAAATTCCTTGAAAGTATTCCGATGGTGATATACATTGTATTTGTTTGGAGGTATCATGGAACATGTTTAACCGTTACACAGACAGTAGATCAGAATGTCATATATGATAAGATTCTGTGCATTGCTTTAAAGTTGATCCTGAGATTGCCTGTATCACAATCGGAAAATGTTAGAAATTAAACATTCGTATTTCTTTTTCTTCAGACCAATTCACGATGCTGTTGAAAACGACCACGTAGAAATTGTCCGCCTTCTCCTGTCGTGTGGCGCCGACCCAAGCATAGCTACGTATGGCGGCAAGACCCCGATAAAGATATCTCACTCGCCCGCCATGACAACCCTGCTCAAAGGTTTGTGACCCTGTGTACATTCTGACCTTGACGAAACATGTATAACCTTTGACCTTTTTATGACGTCATAGGAAATTTATGCGAATTCCGGTGTGAGGTTGTTTATTTCCCCCTTCAGAGCGCACATGTACCGGTTTGTACCGGTTTGCACCGAAATGAAACAGGCACTTAAATACAAACGCGGATAATAGATATCGCCTGTTGATAAAAAAAACACGTCATAGTTGAATGCGTACACAGCCCCAGGCTGTTTAATATTACATTAAATAGTGATTGCGTGTTCGGATTACAAAATGAAGACTTGGCACGATAACATTCCAAAACATGGCGTTAGATTATCTCTTATTGAAACACAAGTTAAACATCATCTATATTATTGAGTAACGCGACTTTTAGACCTGGTTGAAGGAGCCATATTGTGTCCCACTTTCACGACAACAGCAGTCCACGACGATACAATGTCCCATGGGACGAGCAGCAAGGGATTTGTTTTGCGACACTGCGTCCGCTTGTCTTGGGGGTGTGGGTCACTCGCCAGCTTGCGGTCAGCGTTTAAGTGGCCAGAGCCCTTCTTGTGATTAATTAGATACTGTGACCTATAGCTAGGAAGGATGGCGAGACGCTAATGAGCTTTGGACCTGACGCGAGATGGATCGGTCAGGTTTACGACATAATCAATAAATTGATCTAGAATTGGCTGAGTGCATGGAGGTTCGACTGAGAAGCCCCGATGCGTAAACGCTGTATCATTTGCTAATAGAGTTGTAGAGGGTCACGGTATGATATTAGCAGTTATAAAATTTCTTATTGATATTCTTCATGCATAAGGGCATCTCATTATTAATTCGATATTTAGACACGATCGATATTTTTTAATGCTTTTCGAAATGAATCCAATATGCATTATTTTCGGTTGTATACTTTTGTATGTTTCAATATTTGGAACATCTGCCCAAGGCAATGGAGGTGAGGTGAAATGGGGTTTAACGTCGCGTCCAAGATTATTGCACTTATATAGCGACGTGCATGCACGTGTGTGTGTTTGTGTGGCTGCTTGTACTAGTCCGGACTGATGCCGATTTATAGTGCTAGCTTACTGAGATACCATGCCGCAGTTTAACATGAATACCCCACTCAGACACAGTATACTGACTCCGAGCCGACCAGTCCTTGTTTTAGCCCCTTAATGCCGAGCGCCAGACAGGGTAACAACAAGTACCATCTTTTAACGTCTTGTATTATTGTTTTAATATTATACGTCATCATGATTCATGTCGCAAAGTAATCTGAAACACGGTTACTAAAATATGTCATGGTGTTATATATCATATTTTCAAAAATATCAATATCAACAGGTAATGTTTTCATTCAAAGTATTCTTATTGTTAACGTTTTGAGTGTTAATAATAATAATTGTCTTTTCATGACAGGATACTTTGGAGACATCAATGGATTTGACACTGAGAACGAAGAAACGCCATGGGAATTCAACGGTACATCCGTATCATGCGGTGAGTTGACAACCCAGGGTCACGTAATCTCCCAACAGATCTGGACCCGTGAAGATCCGGGTTGGAATATGTCTTCAGCAACCCATGCTTGCCGTAAAAGGTGACCATGTTTGTCGTAACAGGCGACTAACGGGATCGGGTGGTCAGCATTGCTGACTTGGTTGATGCCTGTCATCGATACCAATTGGGTGGATCGATATTCATGATGTCAATCACTGGATTGTCTGGTCCAGGCTCGATTATTTACAGACCGCCGTCATATAGCAGGAATATTGCTGAGTGCAGCGTTAAACAACAAGATTGGCACAACTACCCATGTAAGAAGTCAAATCCATGTAATGCACGTCTGTTCACTCAATATTGAACCAATTCACTTATGACCGTTAAACGTCAATCAAGCTAACATGGCGGCATAGTTTTTTTTATTTGATAATAATTTCAACGCAATGTCTATAAACATAAGGATATACTCAAAAAGCATGATCTGTATATGGATACATACATTATTCAAAATAAGCATTATAAAAACAAATCCATTCTCATACTTTAGAAGACCGCCTACGTGGTCTAGTGGTAGAGCGTCCGCCCGGAGAGCGGAAGGTCCGGGGTTCGATCCCCGACCGCGTCATACCAAAAGACGTTAAAAGATGGTACTTGTTGTTACCCTGTCTTTCGCTCTGCATTAAGGGGCTAAAACTAGGACTGGTCGGCTCGGAGTCAGTATACTGTGTCTGAGTGGGGTATTCATGTTAAACTGCGGCATGGTATGTCAGTATCCACTATAAATCGGCATCAGTCCGGACTAGTACATGCAGCCACACACACACACACACACGCGTGCATGCACGTCGCTGTATAAGGGCAATAATCTTGGACGCGACGTTAAACCCCATTTCACCTCACCTCACCTCATAGTTTAGAAAAATGCCGTTCCCTCATCGCGGAATAACTGTAACTGGAAAAAAAAGAGATTCTTTTATAGGAAGACCAGCTCCTAGTTTATCGTGCTGTGGGAATCTCCAAGGAATGTGAGGAGAGCAACGTGGCGTGGAGTACTTCACATTCCGCGATCACCTGTACGACGCGCAGATGAGACGAGCAACACGTGCTGCTCGTGCTTGTAGAACGCATGCGCATCACGTATTCGATATCGTTGTATCTGACGTTTCACTGGTGAGGTGTACCGTAAATAATCTTGGACTGGTATACAGATTAACATATTGTACAATATTCGCCGACTTACCGATTGTAATATTCATCATCCCTAAAAACGAGCTGCTTTTTCAAGGGGGAAGCTACTTTGGATTAAAAAAAACACGTACGATATTTTCTGTTATTTTAATCATTAACTTAAATATGATTATTTGATATATGTTTGATCAACATAATTTTTTTTTTATAATATCAGGTTTTATGCATCTTCTCGAGGCAAGGGGGTTAACTGACTATAAAAGTCCAGTCCATAACTCGTGATAGCCACTGGTGGCGCTACGATCGAACCCAGAAATCCCGGCCTCGTTCGGCAAGGGTGGAAACTGGACTTTTCAAGTCAGTTAACCCCCTTGCGTCGGGAAGATGGGATTTATGTTTCGCAATGTGGTTGCGTCAAGTGCGAACCGCCAGTACAATAGGCCTATGTTTTTCAAGTGTGTATTGTGTGCGAGCACAAGCATGGCGACCGGTGAACTGTGTACAGTTTATGGAAATGAGGTTCACAGGCATTTTATGCGAAACCAGGCTCAGGGCCTTGGCTTGACTAAACACTATGTGTGACACATTATCCTTGCCATTTTATTGTATGTGATATACACGAACATTATGAAATGAAATAATTTTTGGAGATCTTTTGCGCGAAGTTAAGTTGTCTTTTAAGATGTAATATAAAGAATGTCAGAAAACTGAAGTGAGTGAGTGAGTATGGTTTTACGCCGCTTTTAGCAATATTCCAGCCCCACCGCCATTTGGGGAAGCACGTCTGTGAGTGAGTGAGTGAGTATGGTTTTACGCCGCTTTTAGCAATATTCCAGCCCCACCGCCATTTGGGGAAGCACGTGCAATGGAACGAGCATGCATAAATAACACACAACCCTGTAATTAGCAAACAGAAGAGTTTTACAGCAGACATTCATTCCCCTGGGGAATATAATTATATTCTTATATGTCGAGGGTATAATTCATAGTAATATGCTCATTTCAGATGAGGGGGCCATACAGATGCTGATTCATTTCGCTTTGATGGCTGACCACAAACTGGATATTTGCACATGTAATCAAATGATACGGACGTAATGATTCGATGGAAATAAGTATGTAATCGATTCTGCACGATCTTGAATATGCTGTACGGTACACTGCCGAGACTGGTAGGTCGTGATTCGATCCCCTAGCCGCGTCAAACTAAAAGAGGTTAAAATGTTGTACTTTTCGTTAGCCTTCCTGGTCCTCGGCTTGAGGGGCTAACAAGGATTGGTCGGGTCGGAGTCAGTACACTGTGTCTGTCTGTGGTATCCGTGTTAAAACTGCGGCTTGGTATCTGGGACCAGTACAATCACACAATCACACACTCACACGCCCGTACGCTTATTCGCACACACACAGACACGTATGGAGTGAGTGAGTGAGTGAGTGAGTATGGTTTTACGCCGCTTTTAGCAATATTCCAGCAATATCACGACGGGGGACACCCGAAATGGGCTTCACACATTGTACCCATGTCGGGAATCGAACCCGGGTCTTCGGCGTGAAGCGCGAACGCTTTAACCACAAGGCTACCCGACCGCCACTTGAGATTGAATGCGGCAATTACGTCCGATTGGAGTGCTTTCTTAAGGGGCGATGGTTTCTCCTTAGTTCATTATCGTGTTAATACCGATTTAGTTTACTAATATGTTTTTGTGATTCTGACTAAACATATTTGAAAGAGAGAAAGTGATGTCAATATTCCTAGGCAACGGAGTCGTATCACAAACTGCGCGCACTTGATGAATATCGTGTTATGTTTATATGTCAAAGGAAGACAGCCTTTATGAACAGGTGGGGCAGGATGACTAATGACATTTGTCTGCTGCGATACAAGTCAAAGATAGGATTTGGAAAACGATATGTCATGCACATGTGAGTCAGCGAAATGAAATCACGAAACAAGAAAGTTAATTGGAGCTTCGTGTCTCACGGGATGAAATGGCACTGTACTGAATATTGCTCAATCACGGTTATAAGAAAACCGTGTACGGTATACGCCCTAAGCATACCTAACAACGACGACCTGGCAACCATACGATAATAGGCAATGTTTCCATGGATACGATCGAATTTCATTTTCAGAGCGATTGAATGGCGTTCTCCGCCGCAATCTGAAATGTCTATCAATAACTGTTTATCAAAGATCAAATTCGGGATAATTACGCAAGTCAACTGCCGACAGCGTGGGTAACGGACCATGTCGTTGGGGTAGATGTCGCATTTGGCAACCATCCGATTCCCTTTTTTTGTCGGCTCTTACGGAGCACGTGGTGTACTATATCCCCCTATAGACAATTATAAGGGAATACATTTTTCTATAAACTCTGTTGTCGGCTGTATTACAGCTGAAAACATGTCGTCCAAGAAAGTCGCCGCCTCGCGTGAATGAGTCTTTCGCGGATTTTTAGAAATTTTACAGCCACGTCGGATCAGGGCCCACTTGCACAAAGCGATCTTAGCGCTAAGATGATCGTAACTCCCATACTTTAGCATAGGCTTACAATAGTCTTAGCGCTGAGATCGTTTTGTGCAAGTGGGCCCAGGACTCTTCTAGAATGGGTTTAACACGTGTTAGGGATGAGGAGCGAACGACCTACCCACGGGGCAATTTCTTCGCCTCTAGAAGATGGATGCTGGTCGGCGTGGCTGGGGTAGGATGACACACCAGTTCAGCAAGCAAAGCAAGGGAAAATATGTTAATGACAGTATACATTTGGTCATACTGCATATATCACCTTGCCTGCGGGTATCTATAGATGCATCTTTTCATCAGTTATCTTTATGAATAGAACATATAGCTTGAAATCTAGTCATGCCATCAACAAACACAACAGTCATGGAAAGAGTTCCAATTGGGTTGAGACAGAGCTGTCCAGCTCTCAAATTAATTTCGACCACCTCCGTGGTCTAGTGGTAGAGCGTTCGCGCGGAGAACGGCAGGTCCGGGGTTCGATCCCCGGCCGCGTCATACCAAAAGACGTTGAAAGATGTTACGCTGTCTGGTCGGCTCGGAGTCGGTATACTGTGTCTGCGTGGGGTATTCATGTTAAACTGGGACATGGTATCTCAGTGGGCTATAAATCGGACTAGTACAAGCAGCCACACACACACACACACACACACACACACACACACACGTGCATGCACGTCGCCATATAAGTGCAATAATCGTGGACACGACGTTAAACCTAATTTCAGATTAATGTGTACCATACAAGGTCAAAATGAAATGGGACCTAACGTCACTTTTTAAAAAAAGTTACACTTATATAGCAACGTCCATACGTGTCCCGACGTGATATTGCTGGAATATTGTTAAAAGCGGCGTAAAACCATACTCATTCACTCACTCACTCCATACGTGTCTGTGTGTGTGCTAATAAGCGTACGGGCGTGTGAGTGTGTGATTGTGTGATTGTACTGGTCCCAGATACCAAGCCGCAGTTTTAACACGGATACCACAGACAGACACAGTGTACTGACTCCGACCCGACCAATCCTTGTTAGCCCCTCAAGCCGAGGACCAGGAAGGCTAACGAAAAGTACAACATTTTAACCTCTTTTAGTTTGACGCGGCTAGGGGATCGAATCACGACCTACCAGTCTCGGCAGTGTACCGTACAGCATATTCAAGATCGTGCAGAATCGATTACATACTTATTTCCATCGAATCATTACGTCCGTATCATTTGATTACATGTGCAAATATCCAGTTTGTGGTCAGCCATCAAAGCGAAATGAATCAGCATCTGTATGGCCCCCTCATCTGAAATGAGCATATTACTATGAATTATACCCTCGACATATAAGAATATAATTATATTCCCCAGGGGAATGAATGTCTGCTGTAAAACTCTTCTGTTTGCTAATTACAGGGTTGTGTGTTATTTATGCATGCTCGTTCCATTTCCCAATCATGTTGTGGAGTCATAAGGTGTTTATGCCCAAACGCCAAATAAAAGTCGCCGTTTTAGCTTGTCAATTTCTTCAGCGGCAAGAACTCACCACACGTGCTGCCGTGACGTCAGTTGGCTGTTTGCCAATTTTTGTGATTGATTGCTTTGCCTTATGTCAAATTGCCCTCGTACGCCGAAGAAAACAAGTTTAGATCACTGAAATAGCTTTCTCGTCGTTGCTATTGGAACAGCGGGAAAAAGTTGTTTTTGATGTATTAGGCTTGCTGCAGTCTTACTGAAGATAAAAATATTTTTAAAATAATTTGTATGTTGTTTGTCGTAAACTAGTTGACAAACAGTCATGAAATATTTTCCCGATTAAAATCAATTCAATGGGATTAGGGTTCGTTTGTTTGGCGATTCAAAATAACTGGAGCGTGTAAGAGGAATTAAAAGACGTAACTCCCTTTTATCGTGTGTAAATACATTTCATTCATATTTTCGAGGAAGCCGGCGTCTTGTAGTTAATACTGTGTACAGACTGCAGGTCTTATAAGTACAAGAACTGTGCTCAACAATATAAAAAAAAATCCCTTCACCACATTTGGGTTTCGCAGTGGTGCATGAAATGACAGCATTTCTCACTGAACCAAAGCAACGCGTGCTGGTCGGCAGATAAACGGGACCGATATTATCATGCTCCGTAAATAGCATGCTCCGAAATACTGAAATACTCATCTCGGAAAACCTCTCGCATCTTGGCACGGAAGTTACCTCCAAGATGCGCTCGCAGGACCCGACTGAATCAACACGTCCTAAACATCAGCAAACTTCTCCGCGCAGAAAGGCAAACGACCTATTTCGACCAACCTGATCTAAAAATACACCTCATCTGAAATTGGCATTTCTTTGTTGGCTCGGCAGCCGCGTATAATCCTGATTATCCATGTTTCAGATGCTGCGGAGGGCAAGGGGTTTGACATTTTTGCTGACGTGCCCTCTGACCCGGAAGACGAGACGGACGACCTCTTTGACGTGGAGATGACGTCAGCGATCCGAACCTATGACCTCCACCTTGAAAGCGCAGACAGGTGGGTTGTTTACTCAGACACATGATGCTTGTCTGTCAGTTTTTCACGGATGACGTTTGACACTGACTGCTGAGGAAGACAGTTAGATGTAATCATGTCTCACACCCATGTCACGAGTTGTAGAAGACACGTTTGTGAAATAAATGTAAATTTATTTAGAAGATATGCATTGTGTCGAACGAAACTAGCAGATTTAACTCGAGAAGTATCAATAGGCGTACGTGTAGTTTTGTATATTTGATGTTTAACGCCGCACTCAGAACTATTCCAGATTTTAGACGGCGGTCTCCAAATTCTCGAATCTGGACAAGACAATCCAGTGACTGACATCACGAGCATCTATCTGCTCAGTTGGGTTACGATGACACGCATCCACCCAGTCAGTGAGCCTGACAACCCAATCCCGTTAGTCGCCCCTTACGACAAGCATAGTCGCCTCTTACGACAGGCAAAGTTGCCTCTTACGACAAGCATAGTCGCTTCTTACGACAAGCATGGATTGCTGAAAACTCCAGACTCAATTATTTAAAGACCGCCGCCAAACGTGCAAATCAAAATCAAAGTAGTGGGTAGTAGAAACTGCAGTACTAATCGTAGTAGCCAGCAAAATATTACCAGATGTTTGTACATGTTAGAGTAGGAGACACATACTTAAAGCGGTAGTTTCATCAGTAGAATCGTGAATGTGTCAGATTAGTTTTTTTCGGCTCTGTGAAGTCATAGGACGACCTGTCATTTTGTAGGGACTGAGATGCAGGCCATAGATAGTGCTATAGTACAGGGAAAGTCGAAGTACAGGAAGCAGTAGTAGTAGTAGTAGTAGTAGTAGTAGTAGTAGTAGTAGCAGTGAGTTCGGGAGTCGAACCCGGGTCCTCGGCGTGAAGAGCGAACGCTTTAATCACTAGGCTACCCGACCGCCCCAGTAGTAGTAGTAGCAGCAGCAGCAGCAGTAGTAGTAGTAGTACTGGTAGTAGTATCAGTAGTAGTAGTAGTAGTAGTAGTAGTAGTAGTAAGCAATCCATAAAGGGAGGTTAGTTTTAGTGTTGTAGAGATCTGAAACAGATGTGTTAACATTAGTGTTTTTGCAGCACTTGGTGCAAACCTTATTTTCATCTTCAGAGTGGGTTATGTCATCCGTGTAATAGACTAACGAAAGTAGCACATGCAATTGTAAATGTAGAAAGTCGAAGTAGATACAGATGCGGCTCCTCTTACCATCCTCAACATAATGATCACCACAGACTTGTCTGATCGTTCCTAAATAAATATTCAGTATGACAGAACGTTCTGTTATATTGTCTTGTTGCGGAAAAGAATATCCTTCCTTGCAAAGATAGTATGTTTTTGTGGTGTGTTTTAACATTTGTTCTATTTTCAGACTGGACCGCTATGTATGTGTTCGAGACGCTATGGCCGATTTCCGCATGTCCAAGGATGATATGAAGAAGATATGCGGAAACACGGTTCAGCTGCACAAGATATCAGCTGGAGCTCTGTGTAAATCAGCAGAACACAACGTACTAACATTCTGCCACCAGAATGTGTCGCCAGTCGAGCTCATGAACTTCCGAGATTACAAAACGCTGGAGCCAAAAATGATCGAGCATTTGAAGAGGTCTGCGGACAGCACGAAAGTCAAAAAGGCCAAACCGAAAAAGAGGCCATCGACGCCATCGAAGAAGCCGCGCAAATCGAAACAGTTGGTCGAATCCTCCGATAACGAGAGCGATGCGACGATAGACTTCGGCAGTCCGTTTAACAGCGACGACGAGAGCGTCGATTATATGGATCTGTACTCATTTAATGATTTTGAACATGAAACCACAAACACGGAACAGAAGAAGCCCGTGAAATTCACGTGGAAACAGGAGTTATGCGTTCAGTTGAAGAAGGAAACGTTTCCTCGAGTAGAGACTCCTAAGCCTCGACGGAAATCAACGGAGAACACGAAAAACGAGAAACACGAACCAAACAGTGCCGGAAAACCGGAAGCGCGTCATCCCTTGAAACCGTCACTGAGTCATGCGTCCAAGTCGGATTCCAACGTTTTGTTCAAGACGAAACTAAGTAACTCGTCCAAATCTAAAAGTGACCCAAACCAGTTCAGTGGGAAAAGTCTACACTCATCTAAAATGCGAATTCGTGAAAATGCGTCAATTGACGCGACCAAAGCTTCTATTAAGGCTCAAAGTGAACACATTTATTCGTTTGACGAACATGACAATATGTTAGCGGCCGGAGAGGATCAAGAGATTAGTTTTCCACGCATGGACCGCCTGCTCTCGGAAAGGGGAGACAAACACGGCCTCCGTAAGGAACGGAGTGTGGACTGCAAGAAAGGGCTGGAGAAATCATTTAGGACTATTATGAGCAATTCCAAGGAGGACCACTTCCGTTTCAAAATTGGGGCGGTCTCACAAGACTCTCACGAGAACTCGCGAGGTTCTCACACCGGAAGTGACACATCCGATACGATACAAGCGCCCAACAACTTTAAAACGTGAGATCGCAAGCAGCGATGTGATTAAGCATTTAGAAACACAAGCACAATTGCCCGTTTGAATATAATTGCATTTCAAGACCATTTCGGCCGAATTGATCATTCCCTTGTCGCGGAATCAATACATTTCTGGTCGCCATGGATACGGTCGTCGTCCTAGCGTTTTGCGATGGCGACTGCCTGTGAGGATATTAATACCGGCGCTCGGTGATCGACGCGTAATAAATGAAATAGATGCTTTTAATCGATATCTTGGCATTCGATATTGTTTGCTCTTGACAGGTGATTGACAGCAATATGTGATTATTGTTCCGCTTGTGAATAGCCGCCAACTGGATATATATCTGTGAAATTGGACATCTTGTGATCTCATAATGGTATTACCTATAGCATGTGTGAAAGAAACTTAAGCAGTGTAATGTGACTATGAGCATCTGTACTGATTGTTTGGTATGTTCATTCCTATTGTGGTGAATGCTTTCGATGCAAATGTCACTCTAGTTCGTTGACAACGATTCGTAGTTTATCCTCCGTTTCTTTCAAATAAGGATTACAATTGAGTTTTGCGAAAAATATACATCTTGTTGCTGCCTGTAAGAGAGATTCAATTGTGATTTCATGTCAAATATATTGAAGTATTATGATTGTTGAATTCTATGATATGATGCATTTCAATTGTTAATTTCACATTTGAAATGGAGATCTCTTCACACCGGCCACAAGAGGGCTCGGTGGATAATTGTGTCGTTGTTTTGATAAGTTTTTATTGAATCTGTTATATTAAATGGCATAATGTTCATGACATAATCCGTTGACACTTTCAAAATGGTCGTTCTAAGGATGCTGGCCATATCATTCACATCTGGTCGACGCATATTTATAATTGACGTTAAGAACGAAGTCGATATGTTACGCACCTAAATACATTGTGTTCCGTTTTAACATTCAGGGTTTATCGCCGCGATCACTGTTATCAGTAAAACAGAAAAAAACACTGTTTGAGTATGTCTAACTTATTTCATTTAGAGTTCATCGTGAACCGTGTTTTATCTTGTTACGATATGTTTAATTTGTTAATATTGTGCTAAAGAAGTCTGAGTTACCTCCCTTGTTTTTGGCGTCAGTTGCTATGTAGTGAATATTGATGGGATTATCCTAAATACACGAGTTGATATACTTTTCAAGAATTCATTCCAAACACATTGTCTTCTGATGAGAATCAATTTATGGTTGAGGGCATTTAAAGCTATCGACCAGAACGTCGTTTTCGTCAACGCGCTGTGTGGAGCTTGGTGTTGTTATGTTACTATGACCTTGCACTGTTCGGAGTTTGTCAGTTTGATGAATATATAGACGGATGCCACGACCCAATGTTCTGGATGATCAACGAATGGGAAAAAAGGATTAGAGTAGCTAGTGCCGTCCATTTTGTTTGTTTTACGTGCTCATATGCGATACTATATTCTGAATGGTAACCCTGTTTGCATATGTGTTCAATGTCACGTTACAAAGTGTTAAGTATGGCAGTGAAAATAAACCGATTTGTTCTAGTCCTCTGTGCGTGTTGTGTCAACAAGGAGACGATTAATGAGCTTCCTTTTTATATAACCATTAAGGCCTTGGATGTCTTGAACAACAGCTGCCTTTGAACCGAGATCAATTCAACACGTTCACATGGCGTGTGTGTTATAAGAAGCGACGTTATTTCCGAGCAAACCCGTCAAGATCCGGATTAGAATAGGTCTTCAGCAACCCATGTTTGTCGTAAGAGGCGACTAACGGGATCGGATGATCAGGCTCGCTGACTTGGTTGAAGCATTTCATCGTTTCCCAATTGCGTATATCGATGCTCATGATAAATTCTCAATTACTCTATTGTTTGGTTCAGACTCGATAATTTACAAGCACCGTCATATAGCTGGACTATTGCTGAGTGTAGCGTTAAACAACAAACAAACAAACAAACATTTGCTAGTCCATGAACAAGACCGGGGTGTTTGAAGGTTTCGTTTTACAATGTGGGGAATCCATGCGGTGACGTGACGACTGAACGATGTATTCAAAAGAAAGAAGCAAACGCCAGCACAATATTTAAGTTTTAAATTGAGAATTTGAAATTTAGATTAACCCTATATGTATTGTCTAGCGACTCTGTAATTATATATTAACGTTCGATAGCAATATTAACGTCATCAAACTGTATAAATATAACGTCAACACCAGGATCCATTTTCTGTCCTGCATGTTAGCATGACCTGCTATTTTCTAATCTGAATTATAATACTGGGCATATCCAACTCATCCCACAATGTCAAATGGTGGTTTACCTCACAAACACTCATTTCAACAGCTCTTAACATCCGTGTCTATCAACAAATGTCAATACACGGGTCCTGGGAGATAGCATTATGTGTGTGGACGGTTTGATCAATAGTAAGTATATACCGACAGGTTTCAGATACTGCGACGGCGTTCTGAAGCCGATACAGTGGTTGCGTGCTAACAAGACTGACTGACTGACTGAGTATGGTTTTACGCCGCTTTTAGCAATATTCCAGCAATATCACGGCGGGGGACACCAGAAATGAGCCTCACACATTGTACCAATGTCGGGAATCGAACCCGGGTCTTCGGCGTGACGAGCGAACGCTTTAACCACTAGGCTACCCGACCGCCCCGCGTGCTAACAAGAAGGGCCGCCTTCTATTCTGTACACATATACAGGTTGGGATGTCCTGCGATTATCAAAATAAAATTCACTCAAATGGTGACGTGTGGATTACGGAAAAGAATGGGTACCCAATACACAATACATGTCGTTCGTAAAAGTCAACAAATATTGTAATCACACAATGGTAATACGTGACAATAATGGACCTACACGGTAATACAGGTACACGTCACATACAAGGTAATACAGGTATATGTGACATACAAGTTAATACAGGTATGTGACATACAAGGTAATACAGGTACACGTCACATACAATGTAATACAGGTATATGTGACATACCAGGTAATACAGGTACACGTCACATACACGGTAATACAGGTACATGTGACATACAGGGTAATACAGGTACATGTCACATACAAGGTAATACAGGTACATGTCACATACACGGTAATACAGGTGCATGTGACATACAAGGTAATACAGGTATATGTGACATACACGGTAATACAGGTATATGTGACATACAATGTGATACAGGTATATGTGACATACAGGGTAATACAGGTATATGTGACATGCAAGGTAAAACAGGTACATGTGCAAACAAGGTAATACAGGTACATGTGACATCCAAGATAATACAGATACATGTGACAAACAAGGTAATACAGGTATTTGTGACATACAACGTAATACAGGTATATGTGACATACAATGTGATACAGGTACATGTGACATACACGGTAATACAGGTACATGTCACATACAACGTAATACAGGTATATGTGACATACAAGTTAATACAGGTATATGTGACATACAAGGTAATACAGGTATATGTGACATACAAGGTAATACAGGTACATGATAATACAGGTATATGTGTCATAGACGGCAATACAGGTACATGTGTTATACAAGGTAATACAGGTACATGTGTTATACAAGGTAATACAGGTACAGGTGACATACAAGGTAATACAGGTATATGTGACATACAAGGTAATACAGGTACACGTCATGTACACGGTAATACAGGTATATGTGACATATAGGGTAATACAGGTACATGTGACATACAAGGTAATACAGGTATATGTGACATAGACGGCAATACAGGTACACATCACATACAAAGTAATACAGGTACATGTGACATACAATGTTAACAGGTACATGTGACATACAAGGTAATACAGGTATACGTGTCATAGGCGGAATTACAGGTACACATCACATACAAGGTAATACAGGTACATGTGACATACAAGGTAATACAGGTACACGTCACATACAAGGTAATACAGGTATACGTGTCATAGGCGGAATTACAGGTACACATCACATACAAGGTAATACAGGTACATGTGACATACAAGGTAATACAGGTACACGTCACATACAAGGAAATACAGGTATATGTGTCATACAAGGTAATACAGGTACATCTGACATACAAGGTAATACAGGTGCACGCCACATACAAGGTAATACAGGTATATGGGACATACAAGGTAATATAGGTACGCGTCACATACATAGTTATACAGGTATATGTGTCATACAAGGTAATACAGGTACATCTGACATACAAGGTAATACAGGTATATGTGTCATACAAGGTAATACAGGTACATCTGACATACAAGGTAATACAGGTGCACGTCACATACAAAGTAATACAGGTATATGGGACATACAAGGTAATACAGGTACGCGTCACATACATAGTTATACAGGTATATGTGACATACAAGGTAATACAGGTACATGTCCCATACATAGTAATACAGGTATTTGTGACATACAAGGTAATCCAGGTATATGTGACATACAAGGTAATACAGGTACGCGTCACATACAAGGTAATACAGGTATATGTGACATACACGGTTATACAGGTATATGTGACATAGACGGCAATACAGGTACACATCACATACAAAGTAATACAGGTTACGTGACATACAAGGTAATACAGGTACGCGTCACATACAAGGTAATACAGGTACATGTGACATACAAGGTTATACAGGTACATATGAAATAAAAGGTATTACAGGTACATATGACATACAAGGTAATACAGGTACATGTGACATACAAGGTAATACAGGTACATGTGACATACAAGGTAATACAGATATATGTGACATACAAGATAATACAGGTACATGTGACATACAAGGTAATACAGGTATATGTGACATACAAGGTAATACAGGTATATGATACATACAAGGTAACACAGGTATATGAGTCATAGACGGCAATACAGGTACACATCACGTACAAGGTAATACAGGTACATGTGACATACAAGGTAATACAGATATATGTGACATACAAGGTAATACAGATACATATGAAATACAAGGTAATACAGGTACATGTGACATACAGGGTAATACAGGTACATGTGCCATACAAGGTAATACGGGTACATGTGACATACAAGGTAATACAGGTATATGTGACATACAAGGTAGTACAGGTATATGTGTCATAGACGGCAATACAAGTACGTAATACACGTCACATACAAGGTAATACAGGCATATGTGACATACAAGGTAATACATGTATATGTGTCATAGACGACAATACATGTACGTAATACACGTCACATACAAGCTAATACAGGCATATGTGATATACAAGGTAATACAGATACATGTGACATACTAAGTAATGTAGCTGCACGTGACATACAATTTGATACAGGGTACATGTGACATACAAGTAAATACAGATACACGTAACATACAAGGTAACGCGGGTACATGTGACATACAAGGTAATACAGACACACGTGACATACTAGGTAATACAGGTACACGTTACATACAAAGTATATAACACAGGTACATGTGACATACTTTGCATATTTGATATGCTAGGCCCCTTGGGAATGCAGATATGCAGGTTTGTGTAATATTGCGGCAGTAAAAAAACAGCAATATGTGCAATTGCCCTGGCCTTGTGGGAACACAGGTATACGTGATCGCGCCGTGGATTTTTATGAACACAGATACCGTGACAGCGCAGTGGCCTTGTGGGAACACAGGTGCATGTGACAACGCCTTGGCCTTGAATGATTTGTTTGTCTATTTGTTGTTTAACGCAGCACTCAGCAATTGTACATCTATACGGCGGCGGTCTGTATGTAATCGAGTATGGACCAGACAATCCCTTGATTGACAACATGAGCACAACATCGAACCACGCAATTGGGATACGATGACATGCATCAACCATGTCAGCGAGCCTGACCATCTGATCTCGTTATTTGCCTTTTACGAAAAACATAGTCGCCTTTTACGGCAAGCATGGGTTGCTGAAGACCTATTCTACCCCGGATCTTCGCGGGCCGCCTCGAATGAAGAAAAGTAAACGTGACAACATATGGCCTTGTATGAACAAAGGTACACGTGACAACGCTGTGGCCTTGTATCCAGAAAAGTAAACGTGACAACATGGGGCCTTGTATGAACAAAGGTACACATGACAACGTCGTGGCCTTGTATCCAGAAGAGTAAACGTGACAACATATGTCCTTGTATGAACAAAGGTACACGTGACAACGTCGTGGCCTTGTATCCAGAAAAGTAAATGTGACAACACATGGCCTTGTCTGAACAAAGGTACACATGACAACGTCGTGGCCTTGTATCCAGAAAAGTAAACGTGACAACATATGGCCTTGTATGAACAAAGGTACACGTGACATCGTCGTGGCCTTGTATCCAGAAAAGTAAACGTGACAACATGGGGCCTTGTATGAACAAAGATTTACGTGACATTGCGTAATTCCTGTCTGCAAACACGCGGCATAGCTTTGGCCTTGAGTGAAGGCAGCTGCACGTGGGATT